GGTTGGCTCGAACGGAGATGTCGAGATTGTCCACCAGCTGGAAGAACCGTTGTGTCCACTGCAGGAATTGAGGAGACCCTGTCGATCCCATCCGGTTGATGTGCCACACTACCGCTGCACTGTCCGAACGGACCAAGAGAGAGGTAGATTGTAGAATCTCTTGCCAGTGAGTGATGGAAAGAATCACTGCTCTCAGCTCTAGAATGTTGATGTGGTAAGCACGATCTGCGAGAGACCACCGCCCTGCCACTTGCTGATCGAGGTAGAGATGCATCCACGTATAGGTGGTGAGTCGGGACGAACGGCCTTAAGCAGACTCCGCCGCAGACTTTCAACTCTTCCATGCACGAGAAGAGATGGGGATGGAGTACCGGAGGTAACTTGATCAGAGAAAGCGGGTTGCCCACCCAGGAATAACTGCAACGGTCGAAGTTGAAGCTTACCCCTGAGGGTCAATGCCTGGGCAGACGTCAAGAGACCCAGGAGCTCCTGCCACTGATGAAGAGTCCTGGGTTGAAGCCACGCAAGGGGAACTAGTTGCCGGATCTTTCTGAAACGGTCCCTCAGCACAAACAGTCTGTGGTGCTCTGTGTCGAACATCGCCCCCATGAACTGCAGGCGGCATGAAGGGACGAGCTTCGACTTCTTCCATGTTGACAAGCCAGCCTAACTGGTGAAGTAGCTGCATCATGAACCCCATGTGACGGAGGAGTGCATGGTTGGTCTGAGCCTGGATACAGTCGTTGATGTAAGTTTCGAACAGTATCCCCTTGCCATGAAGGAAGCTGGTGATGGGCTTCATCACCCGTGTAAATAACCACGGAGCCTAGGAAATTCCAAATGAGAGCACTGGTAGTGGGTGCCCTTGAAGACGAAACGAATAAACTTGCGATGGTCCGAGAAGATCGGGATGTGAAGGTACGCATCCTGAAGGTGTAGGCTGACCATGTAATCCCCCGGTTTGATGATAGTCTTGAGTAGAGCCACCGACACCATACGGAAATGAGGCGGTGGTTGTAGGAAAGATCTCGTTGAAGACCTTCATATTGAAGATGAGTCTCAACTTGTCGGAACCCTTCTTTGGGACCAGAAATATTGGAGAGTAGAACCCTGGGTCGGTCAGAGACGAGCACAGGGATTCGATCGCAAGTTTCTGAAGAAGCGTAGCGGGATGAGCCGGATACGTCCTGTGCTCCGGGAAACAATGTGAGAGGAGGGATGCCGATGACCGGAAGTTGAAACCCCTTGGACAGAGTGGAGAGAACGTAAGGGTTCGTCCAAGATGGTCCAATTGAGGGCATAAATCCAAAGTCTTCCACCTACTGGGAAAGTTGTGATAAGTACGATTGGAACACCTGCTGGTCAAACCTCTTCCCTCGAAAAGAAGTAGAAGGTCCCGAACGAAGATCTGGGTTGGACGGCACATAGGTAGCTGGTCGCCGTTGACGCAACGGATCTTCTACTTGCAATCGCTGAAACTTCAACAACCTTCACAGAGACTTGCAAATGAGTACCCTGCCCAACCTTAGCGGCTATATCTCTTATAGCCCCGTTAAAGAGTGATCTGCCTGACCAAGGTTGACGGAACAGATCTCATGAAATCTATCCTCCCACTAAGATAAGTGAAGCGGGCCCCTGTGTCAAACCGCCGTGAGGTAGGAGAAAAAATGGGCCAAGTGATCCAAGATGGTCTGGAACTGCTCCTGTAACAACACCATCGCAGTCTGAATATAAGCCTGTTGAGGGGAAGTGGCATGCGAGACAGATATAGCCACTGCTTCATTCGCCGACAAAACCAAGTTGAGGGGAGCTAGGATCCTCCGAATGGCACCATCCAGGTGCAACAACTCACGGTCTTCAACCAGAAAGGGAGAATAGGTCCTCTGTTTAGAACCCAAAAGCGCAATGTCATCATCCACAGAAGGCGAGGCAATCAACGTAGAAAACCCATGAACATCGAAAACAGCCAAGTTAAAGCGGGGTGCAGCGAACCCATCCTTAACCTTCCTTCTGCCAAATGCCTCATCACGAGAAGCCGCAGGTTGAATAATGCAGGGACGAGGTGGAAAAGTGATAGAGCTGAAATCACCCGGTTTCATATCAAAGCTAGTCAACAAGTCTGTAGGCGAACTGCTACGACGTAGTCGAAGGTTATCAGCAATCCAAACCAATAACTGAGGTGTGTCGACTATATCATTGCTGACATCTGAGCCGAAGTGCCATCTCAAGTAGGAGAAGCTGAGCTGATTGAGGAGGCCGAGGTGGATCGGTTGAAGCCAGCTGGCTGAACCGTGGAGGATGGAGCTGGGACTTGCTGACGTAACACCGAGGCCACAGCATGAATAATGGCATCAAAATCAAGAGGTCGAGACGCAGAACTCCCAGACGACAGATCCCAAGAAACCGGTAAAATAAGTCTGGCCGAGGTGATAGACGTAGTACCCGAAGTAAGAGGCAATGTAGAACCAGAGGCTGGCATTGGTGGACGACCCGGCAAAAGCGGCAACGTTGAACCAATAGAAAGCGGCACCCTGGAAGACTGTGGTACACTGGAAGTAAGCGTCACACCAGCAGCAAGTGACGCTCTGACAGGAAGCACCGAACCAGGACCAAGCGGCATATTGGAAACAGGAGGCGCTCCAACTGTAAACACCGAAGCGGGAGCAAGCGGTGCAATGGAAACAAGTGGCACTCCGACAGTAAGCGCCGAACCAGGAGGGAGTGGCGCATAAGAGGCAAGTGATGTACCGACAGTAAGCGCCAAACTGGGAGCAAGCGATGCTCTGCCAGCAAGCATCGAACCGGGAGCAAGTGGCGCACTGAAAGAAAGTGGCGCTTCAACAGTAAACGCCGAACCGGGAGCAAGCGGGACTCTGCCAGCAAGCATCGAACCGAGAGCAAGCGGCACTCTGACAGTAAATGCCGAATCGGGAGTAAGCGGTGCTCTGGTAGCAAGCGCCGAACCAGGAGCAAAGGGCACATTGACAGCAAGCGGTACTCTGACAGTAAGCACCGAATCGGGAGCAAGCGCCCCTCTGGTAGTAAGCGCCGAACCGGGACAGTAAGTGCTGAATCAAGAGCAAGGGGCGCATTGAAAGTATTCATCGCTTCGGAGGTAAACGGTGTACTGGAAATCAGCAATGCTCCATAAACAGGTGGGACGGCATACCAGGCAGATGTAGAAAGCATCGCACTGGACCTCAACGTCATACTTGTAGATATCACAGGAGGGTATGAGAGCATCGAACCAGGACAAAGCGCCGAACTGGAGACAAGCGGCGCATGGGTAGAAAGCGTAGAGCCAATCACAGTGCTGGAAAGCGCCGAACCGAACGTATCCACCCCAAGCGCCGTAATGGAAACATTCGACATAGGATCACCAAGGTTCTGAGAAATCGTCACCAGGGTAGACGGATAAGACTGGCCAGATGAAGTAGTTAAAACTACAACTCTAGGCGGTGAACAATCTTGAATCACAACAGGACTGGACACTTGCGGACGAATAAATGCCGGAGATCCTCACTCAAATTGGAATTGGAAGCCCCACATAGAAATTCTTCATTCGGCGACGGGGAACAGGTGTCTTGTACAACGTTCAGTTTTCGATCGTTTCGCAGAGGAAGGACCCTCCGAAAATTTACGGTGATCCCTGTCAGACAAACGTTAAGAAGCCACCCGGTGATATTCTGAAAATGCATCATCATCAAGTTGAGCACAGTAAGTACACCTGTGCGAACAATCGCAACATCCCAAACAATCCACACACAATGTATGTGGGTCCGCAGCAAAAAAGTTACTATTGCACTTGTCGCAATGTTTACGCTTAGTAGAAGTACTGCGGCGAGATTTACACATATTGAACTCAGCCAAAATCTTCACTAAGAATCAGCACACGTCCACACGACGTAGCGACAAGAATGAGAATGACAGGCACAGAGCGTCACGTGATCATCTGAGCGATCTGCACGCTTATTGAGATGATTGACAGGTATTGTTATCAGAGTGGGGGCAGAGGTCAGGTGGTTAGAGGCCAGGAAGTTTTGATTCAACTTAGACTACAGCACTTTCCACACATGGTCGTAGAGGAAGAAGAGCGGTGCATACTGTGAGATAGGACAAGTTTAAAAATTGAGACAATTCAAGGAGAAAATACTATTGCAATAGTATTGCAATAGTTGGTCGCAACAGACTATCGCTATCACTATCGCAATAGTATGTTGCAGTAGACTATCGCTATCACAATAGTTGTTTGCCCCTCAATAGTCGCCCCTACAGATAAATAAACATTATATGGATCAATCTTGGAATCTTGGAAATACGACTCCCTAATCAGCAGTGAATGTATGTGCTTTTCATCAGCTGCTACAGTTGCATGTATACATGTACTACTCAAAAGAAGTGAAAGAACACCTGATTTTACATAAAATTATAGTTAACAGTTAAAAAAAATCATAAAAATCATAAAAGATCGGGTGTCCTAAAAAGTCATGTCATGATGGACTAACTGGAGTCATATTTTGTCAAAGTATTCAAAATGAAGTCAAGTGTGGCAGGAGACAAATAAATGCTACGCATCATAATCATATTCAAGAATGTTAGGGGAACAACAAGCAGCCAATCCATGGTCAGTCATCAGTTTGGGGGTAAGTATTTTCAATACAAAATGGGGCGGTGGGGTAGCCTGGTGGTTATAGCGTTTGCCCGTCATGCCAAAGACCCGGGTTCAATTCCCCACATGGGTACAATGTATGAAGCCCTCCTCTGATGTCCCCCGCTGTGATATTGCTGGAATATTGCTAAAAGAGGCTCAAAACTAAACTCACTCACTCAAAATAAACAACCTGTTTTCAACATTGTTTTTAGAACTGAAGAAATCATGCATTCAACAGTCATTCAAATTTGAATTATACTATTTCAAACATTATTTAACCATCAGTTGAACAGGTTTTGGTCAAATCAAAATTGATGGATAGATTATTGTATCAACATGAAAATATTACCTTCACAACAACCTCGTTTCTCCCTAGCACCATGTGGCTCTTCTGGTGGAGGAAGTCCCTGTGTGCAGCGTGCACGAAGCTGTCGGGGTGGTTGGAAACCATGGGCTCCTCTCCGCAGTAGTCGTACGCCACACGCTGCTTCAGGAAGTCGATAATCTGACAAGAAGATATGACCAGTCACATGCTACACACTGCTTCAGGAAGTTGATAATCAGACAAGATATGACCAGTCACATGCTACACACTGCATCAGGAAGTCGATAATCACACAAGACATTACCAGTCACATGCTACAAATTATTTCAGGAAGTAGATGAGAGAGAGAGAGAGAGAGAGAGAGAGAGAGAGAGAGAGAGAGAGAGAGAGAGAGAGAGAGAGAGAGACTGAGAGAGAGAGAGAGAGAGAGAGAGAGAGAGAGAGAGAGAGAGAGAGAGAGAGAGAGAGAGAGAGAGACCAAGAGAGAGAGAAGCAGGACTGAGTATCAATCAGCCTATGAAGGGCACAGAAGCCAACACCGGAACAAGCAACCAATGACTGAAAGCATGACCCAAAACATTATCCTGTCATCAATATCAATATCTAACCTTTACCTCTTGTTTGAGCTCATCAGCTAGTTTAATTTGAGGTCTCTTCTTGTGATCAATCCCTTTGTTCTCACACTTATAGTGCTTTATTCGATGACTCTGAAATATAACAAAATCAAATATTGGAATTAAAATACCATGGATGGTATGATATTAATCATCTTAATCAAACATTGTTGACATCAATCCTCACTTTAGCTGGACTTTACAAATAAACATGGGGAACTTTGGGGTTTTCTTCACCAAATTACAACTAATGAGATTATAAAAGAAGCAGCTTACTGGAAATTTCTGTGATATTTTGTCATGTGGTCCACAAATTTTCTCTGATGCTGAGGTCCTCTGTACAAAATACTTCTTTTCATCCTCGCATACAGATTCAAGAAAAGAATCATTTCTGATGAGAAAAATAGCTGAAAAATAAGGATTTAATGATTAAATGTGTTCAGATATTCATATGAACCAACTCATGATAAATGGAAACAAAAATTACTGGAAAATGTATTGTCAGATACACATTGCCAGGGGAGATAACTCACAGTTGAGATTATCCTCCCTGTAAGCTCCATACAGGACTTGGAGGTCTTCCACAAGAAGGCCATAGGCTTCAATGTAGTCCTCTATCACCTCATCAGCATACTCCCCCCACATAGGCACCCAACCAATAGACTCACTGAAAATCAAATTATAGCATGTATTTATCAAACATTGTACCCATCCTTGTCAGAAAATTACTGTATCAGTGCTTGAACTGTAGTGCTATGTATGGATCTTTTCTCAGACTGTCAAGTGTGGATTCAGTATTGTGACGCAAAATTTCAAAAGGTTGAAGATACGATATTTCATAAAGCAGTTGAATATCATTACAAATATATATTTTTGTTATTTGGTAATTTTGTTCAGTAACCAATAAATCATGCTATCTTATTGCAAGTACATGACTAAATTTTCAACCTCCAAAAACCTACAAAGGATTCAAATATGTCACTATTAGGCATGTTTCCAAAAGGATTGTGGCATCTGATTCATTTATGCAATTTCGCTCCTTGAATCTATCCATATTGAGTAAGATACAAAGTGTAAAAAGTTTCTTTGAAATAATGATGGTACACCTTTACTTTCACCCTATTATCAACATGTTTCTTCCATATTTTAAGAAAGGATTACCTGGTAATATTGATGAAGAGAGGCATGATATTGTTGTAGTAACAGTTTTCGATGCTGGTCTGAGCTCTCTCCAGCTCCGACACTTCCCTGCGGTCAGGGTGCCGACCCCCCTGAAACAGGATTAATGACAACACATCACGTGTGTGATACACTTGGGTTTTGTCAGAAGGCACAAGAAGTGTGAATAAATTTCAAACTCTTATTTAATAGTAAAATATAAACATTCTTCAGTAACAGAAATTTCTAACATGTCTAAGAGTGAGTGAGTGAGTTTAGTTTTACGCCGCACTCAGCAATATTCCAGCTATATGACGGCGGTCTGTAAATAATCGAGTCTGGACCAGACAATCCAGTGATCAACAGCATGAGCATCGATCTGCGCAATTGGGAACCGATGACATGTGTCAACCAAGTCAGCGAAACTGACCACCCGATCCCGTTAGTCGCCTCTTACGACAAGATAGTCGCCTTTTTATGGCAAGCACATGGGTTGCTGAAGACCTATTCTACCCCGGATCTTCACGGGTCTAACATGTCTAAGACAAAGGATTGTAAACTGAATGCCTTGAATATAATGACTGGCCACTTATGCACTAAACTCCATGCCGCAGGGACATGCTCAAAGCGCGTAAAATTTTTGTTTCCCGATAGATTGCAAAGCTTTATATTTAGATTGTATTGAGGGCTTGTTCGACCTTTTTAGCAACAATCATTAGTAAGCCCAGGCTTTTTTTTATAATGGTAGCTATGCCCGACAACATGGACATTATTAATACGGGTGACTATTGACTGAGGGGGAAACAACTATTGCGATAGTGATAGCCTATTGCAACATACTATTGCAAAAGCAAGTCTATTGCGACCAAGTATTGCAATACTATTGCAATAGTATTTTACTCCTTGAATTGTCTCATTTGAAGTCATTTCCCAAATGAATGTATAGGTTATATGACATAAAACAAGTTGAAGTAGTTTCAGTCTCTTTTAATGAGCGACAAGAAACTTGAAACCCAGATCAAGTAAACAGTTAAAACATAAACTCAATGAAGCTGCAAGTCTGCACCCAAACATCCTGTATTTTGCGCTGGGCGTTTATCAACAGAAGACAATTACTATACTATAGATGCATCGAAAGTTTTTCGTTTCTACCATCGATTAACTGCTATCGGAAACTCAACAATTGCAATCCATCAATAGTTTGATGCATCGTTACAGCCCTAATTATTAACCCGGCTAACCCACGCTGCCTGTGAGGCACTAGAAGGTTAATAGTCATGTGACTTATACCACCGGGTACCCATTTTCTGCTGGGTGAACAGAGGCAATTTTGAACAAACTCATTTGCCTAATGTGTGACCACATAGGTGCTTCTATATAATATGCATAATATACTGACAAGGAAGAAGAATTGATGCCATAGTCAAGGATTTATCTACAAAAACTCATTTAATATTTTCCTACATATCTTGGCATTTGAACATTACATAAAACATGATTAAATGATAATAGCATGACTAAATGATAATAGCATGATAAATTCATATGACCTAGCCAAGCACAATGTTAAAGTTAATATAATTGGGACTTTTCAAATTAGAACAGTATCTGATTATGATAAAAAAGAAAGATCATGTCTACTTACCCATTTGATTGCATGCTCGATTAGGTTTAGTTTCCTTTGCTCACACCATGCTCGAACTTCAGGAAGTATCTGGAAATATATGTTCAATTAGATAAACAATTCAGGACAGGTTGGAATATAAGATGGTGGGCCCCGACATTTTGTGTTCTTGATCAGGAATCCATAATCAAATAGGGTTTCCCCTACTTATTTTTATCAGGGCGCAGTGCCCGCCCCTTTTCTAAGGCCCCCCTGCCCTTCTGACACAGTTGTCCTGTCCAGGAAGAACAGAATATGAGACCAAGCTCTTTTAGTGTGTTCTTAAAACAATTTCTGTTCAAAGAATACAATAATTGATATCAACACTTGGTATTTTTCATTTTCATTGTATGCTGATGTTCAGTGAAATAACTGTGCTCTGTGAGCCTTTAAGAATCATATGCATGGATAACTTATACTTGGACATTTGTCAGTGTTATTGAATGCCCCTTTTGAAATTCTCTTTTTGATCATGGGGGAAACACTATAAAAGTGGATGAAATAATATGCACATTTGTTGGCAAGTATTTAAGGAGAAGACTGGTATATATAGTTTTACAATATTTTATAATTTGTAAGTGAGTTTCAGAAATTCACTGTAAATCCTACAACATGCATTAGCTGACTTCCTAACCACAGTGGTTGGTCCAGATTTGATAATGTAGGAACTGCTTTCATATAGCTGGAGTATTGCTGAGGATGGTGTTAAACAACAAAAAAGTAATAATACTCACCTCTTTCCTGATTATCTCCCTTTCAGTAAAGAACTCATCAGTGTAGGAGGTAATAAAGAGTTTCACGTTGATTACCTCACTGATGGATGGTTTAGAAGGTGAGACAATAGGGGCAGCACATGCCATAGCGTCAAAGCATTCCTGTACAAAAACACCACTTAAAGTCAACAAGAATTGCTTCACAATCACACTGGTACATGTACTAAAGAATTGCAGTTTGAATTAATGTTTAAGAAGCACATGAAAAAATAATAATGCTAATATTATAAATTAAATTAAATTTCTTATTAATTTATCCATAGGCTCATAGATGAAGATACCACATGACATGACATACAGAGGAGCAGAGATGTACAACTTTAAGCATTACTGAAATAATCAAACTGTAAAATAATTGTTCATGAATGAGTGTGAGTGAGTTCACTTTCATTTTCGCAACATCCGGGCGAGGACACCAGAAATTGGCTTCACAGATTGTACCCATGTGAGGAATCAAACCTGTGCCTTCGGTGTGATGAGCAAACACATTAACCACTAGGCTACCCCACTGTCCCTTATTCATGAATTCATCAGTGTTAATTGTGACAGGCATAATTTAAGCTCATTTGTTACATATCATTCAAGAAATCAAGTTGTTTGGCATTTAACAATGCATCCTCAATCATTATGATTACCAAGATAACGTATCTTGACTCTTCTTCAATAAATATCCATTCACCACCTTAGATCCATTTTGAATCCTATTTGAGATAGAAAACTATGGTTATTAAGAACTCAAAGTTACCACTAACTTTAGTTTGTTATGACCGTACATGCATTTCAACTAATATCTATAGCAAGAGGCCAGGACCCACAAAGAACACCCCAGTTCCCCATATCTGTCAGTTTATTAGAAGAGTTGGTTGGTTGGTTAGCGCCGCACTCAGCAATATTCCAGCTATATGGTGGCGGTCTGTAAATAATCAAGTCTGAACCATATTCAAGTCTGCACAGTCCATAATTCATGCAGTGTACACTGATACTTTGACAAGGAGTTGTCAAGGTTAAGGGAATTGCTGGAATTTTGTGGGAAACCTGATTAAAATTCCTTTCATCATTTGTACCATGTTTACACCATGTGCACCTTTAGAAAGTTCATAAACCTCAGCTCATTTATTGACAAACTCTAAGTGACCCTCAAAATCTGTTTGTAATGTATCCACTCAACATTATTCTCAGGAGAAACATTTATTTCCAATCCTGGTTAATCAGAATTGAGTGTTTTCCTTGCCAACTCAAATTGGCAGATAGTTTCCCTCAAAATCAGACAGACAGAAGTTTTATTCAATATTTCAGCCATATGATGAATGTTGTGTTTTTTGGACATTGTACAGTCACATGGAAATATAAATATACACACGCATAATAACATCTAATTTCAAAATAATTTTTTAATTTTTTAGGAATATTGAAACAGATAATATTATATTGATATCTTGAGCTTAACCAATTTTTCATTAGTTCATCTTTGTACACAGTTGAGATCATAGGGGGGCATCTGTTTCCAAGAATTGATCATGTTTACAAATGAAAAGTACATGAAACTCATCCTCGACATAGCCATCATTACAATAACTATTATTTTTATCAAATACATTTTCTTTCTAAGATTATTAATGTCAACATTGTGTAATGATATTCATAATTTACAGAAAGCTCTTCTGAAAGTTCTATCCTGCAGTTCAGATACATATTTTTCAGGAACAAGTAATGATTTTATTTTTCCACAATGACACAGAAATCTTGAGGATGATATTTGACAGTTCCAGTTTTGCGAAAATATGTCGTATACAATCTTTGCTTTAGGATGAAGATAAGTAACTTATCATTTTCAACATCTTGAGATATCCAAGCAAGGAAAAACCAGACATAAAAAGAATATTTCTTACATATCAGACACCCAAGATTCTTTCTCATTATCATCCTATCTTTTAACATGTTATAAGTTAATATAACATCAAACAGTAAATCTATTTGGATTCATACGAAGTAGTTTCATCAAATATTTGACAGGCCTTAACTGTGATGAAACAAAATCACAATCCAACAGCTTAATGGCATTTTCCACTACATATGCTTTACATACATGTAAGTTTGTAAATACCTGTATGTGTAACTGATTGCTAAATATGTTGTTTTATCATTATTAGTGTTCCTATTTGCATCCATCGATTCTTTTACATTTGCCTTGAAACTACTTAAAATAATAAACATAAATTCCCAGTTATCATTACACTCATGTAACCTTGATTCGTGGATATAAGGGAAGTGTGGCGAAAATCATATTTTAAATGCATGATTTCATTTTGTATACTCACTGATTTTATTAATAGATTCAGCAAATTGAAAATGCCTAATATTGCACTCGTGAATGAAACGTTTGTTTACCGAAGCCATTTGCAATCATCACCTATTCATGTGCCCACAAAACGTGAAGTCACTTTGTTTCATGGATTACGTAGTTGGTTACTTTATAATATCACTATGTACGACAGCCCAATGCAGTAAGTACTGACACCTATATATTACTGGGAAAGCGGACGATGAGATGTGAGAAGGCTGGTGCTAACCTTATCTTTTTTCCTTGACACTTTGTAAAAATAAAATTTGGTATTGGTGGCATTAGTGATCTTGGGCTATTTATCTTAGATCTGGACAATTTGATTTAGTGTATTTATGTGTAATGCAGAAATTCAGAACATTTTTGTCAACGAGGCGTGGCATTGTATGTGCATCAAAAGTACCGCTTCGTGACATCATACAAGACTTCATTTACGAGATAGCATGACAATTACCGCGATCCACGAATCAAAGTTAACCACAAATTTAGGTTACGGTTCTGTACATAATACCAAACCAATCCATATTAGCTAGGAAAGTCATATTTTTATCTTGTTTCAGTTTCATACTTCATTAACCACAACAAAAAATGTTTGTCCTAAAACATATCTAATATCTTTGCATACTTATGACACTAAACTAAATAATGACATATAAATGTACTGAAGCCAATCACTGCAACACACATGACAACTCAATTCAGTCAATGAGAGACCTAATCAGTTATTTTAATATAAATTGACAATCATAATCAGCTGATAATATTTCTTTGTTCTGGACAGGTCACAAATGCTGTTGTTTTTAAATGCATGGTTTATCTGATTTTGAATTTTCAGAATATGAAAGATGACAAGAGATATACATTACTCAATGGACTTGTGCTGCCCATGTAATCCCTCCACTGTTTTGGACAGGCCCAATATTCGTGGTCATGTCAACAACCGAACATTTCCTTTTGCACGAAAGGTTCAAGGATAAAAACGCAAAATTCACGCATCGAAGTTAGTCTTATTAGAGCACGCGTTGGTTTCATATGTGGTATACTATAAACATATTGTACTTAACAAGCGTTTGATAAGTATTAGTTACCTTGTTAGCATGAATGTTACACCATTTTGGGATAGTCTGCTTGCGTTTCTCAACACTGAAGAACTCCTTGGTCAAACAGAGTTATCGTTCTTGGAGCAGGTGCCCGTTCATGAATGTTAATGTAGTGTCTGTTAGCATCACGTACCTTTCAGGTTTTGCATGTCGTCGACAAAAGTACGGATAAACATGCGCCTTTCATATTTTCAGTGACTCTAAGATGTATTTAAAAGTGTAATAATTTGTTTGAGTACACAATTATTTTATTTTTAGACCGGATTCGAGACTTTAAATAATGCTTGAATCCAATTTATTCTATTCTTCCCGGTAATGGGGAATATGTCTAGCATTCTTTTACATTTTTATTAATTGTTGGATTCCATTACGTAATAAAAAGTGTCGAATACATTTCCCCATTGCAACAGCAACTAAACAGATATGAAGCTGAAAGATTGGTTGATTTGTTTGTTGTTAAACGTCGCACTCAGAATATATTGAAGCTACGGCGGCGGTCTGTAAATAATCGAGTCAGTACCAGAAAGTCCAGTGATCAACAGCATTAAGCATCGATCTACACAATTGGGACACCATCATGGCATGACAGGTCGGCAAGCCTGACCACCCGATCCCGTAGTCGATCGTCCTTTTCGGGTTGCTGAAGACTAATTCTAACCCGGATCTTCACGGGTCAAAAGATTGGTTGACCCAGAGACTATAACATAATATTTATTATATGGTTGACCCAAACGAACTGATTACTTTGATAAACGTTAGGGATCTGCCACCTTGTTTATGGTGCGGTCCCAATGCCGACCTTACGCTACTCGACCTTCTCGACCTAAAGGTCGAGTTGGGGGTCGAGTTGGTCGAGTTTCAGAACGAGTTAGGTCGAGTCAGGTCGTGTCAGATCGAATCAGGTCTACCAAGTTTTTAAAAACCTTTTGACAAGTCAAAAATTTCCCCCGACTTCCTCCTCGACCTTCAGTCCGAGATGGGGTCGAGACCAGGTCGAGAATAGGTCGAAAAAAGGTCGAGTTTAGGTCGACATTAGGTCGAGTTTGTCGAGTTGAAGGTCGAGCTGGCCTGACATGCCGATCTGTGTTCGTCTTAGAGTCGATCTGTACTCGGCCTCGACTCGACCTTGAGTCGACCAACTCGAACTGGACTCGACTTGGACTCGACCTGAAGTCAACCTATCTCGACCCCAACTCGACCTAATCGAGTCCGCGCCGACCGCATGAATGGTCGCCATCTTCCCAATTGCTTCATAAAAGCCAAACGGCAGCCAGTGGTAGCACATCATTTCCACACCAACCTGCTACCACCCAGAGGTTCACCCTGAGCATTCCACCCTCTCCAACACGCTGCAAAGCAGCGGAACAGGCTAGTATCTTCCCCAGCTTTGACTCCAGTGCTTCAGCAGGTATATCTCTGTACCTGCCAAGCGGTCTCTTGGACCCTACACACACCTCAGAGAATAAGTCACATGTTCAGGACTCTCAGCAAGGACAGTGAAACTGAAAAGTAGAACTTGATACTCATATATTGTCATGAGCAGTTTATACTGATGTGAAATGTTACCGTCAGATTATTTAAATGAGTTTAATAAAAGATTTAAAAGATTTTTTTCATCTGATATTTTTTTGTATTTTCCACCCATTGCTAAGTGTAAATGTAAATACATCTTGTCCGATTGTAATAAAGTTTGTTTTGTTCATCGTTTTCATTGTGTGTTTTTTCGCATTTACCAATTGTAAATATAACATATGTTATATTTAGTAAAGTACAGATTCGAGTCCCATCCGGGATTCGAACCCACACCCTCAGAGTCAGGTACCTAATCGCCAGCACCCAAAGTCAGACGCCTAGACCGCTCAGCCACCGCAGCTTCCACAAATATAACATATGTTACATTTGACCACTTTCTAAATGGCATTGTGTATTTCAATTGTAAATAGTGTAAATAAAAAACAAACAAGAGTTCCTTTGTAAATGAAGTAGTCCTAAATAATAGAGTACACTTTAAAGTCATTTGGATATCATCTTCTCTTGCCAATGAACAGCCCCCTGGGCCCATGAAATAGTCCTTAAAATATTTTCTTTGGTTGGCGCCATCTAGTGGGGTAACGTTCCTCGCACCCCGGTTATCCCCAACAAGCAGCTGTGTGTATAGGAGCGCCACTCGCCTGGGGTGAGTGAACAGTCCTCATTCCCCTGGTCTATGAGGTTCATCTGACTGTTCCGGTTCCTCGTTCTCAGCATGTTGTGTGAAGTGACGCAGGCCAGGGTAATTATCTGTTCAGCTCTGTCTGAGGTGCTATTTAGGGAGCCGAAGAGGATCTGGAACCTCATAGCCAGAATCCCGAAGGTATTCTCTACCACTCGTCTGGCCCGAGACAGTCTGCAAAAGTCACAAATTAAACATTTTTAAGATAAATGCATTCAAAATTCAAAACCTTTATATAATATTGCATACACCCAAAGATACTAAGTTATAATTTGATTTAGGTATTTATGGAAAAGAATAATTACCTGCAGCTGAAGATCTCTTGATCGGGGTCCATCTGACGCATGGAAAAGGACTTCATCATCCAAAGGCGGAGTGGAAGGCATCGTCCCAATATACGGGGAATACAAGGTCATCGCCCTCCATCGATCTCGTGCATGGTTTACGACCATTAACGCCTGATGCTGATCCCTTGGCCCCGACGTTGACCCACGGGAACTTGTAGTTGGCATCCGCGAGTGCCAGCAAGACGATAGAGAAGAAGTTCTTGTAGTAGTAGAAGAGGGACCCGCTTTTGGGAGGCTTCTTGATGCGCATGTGCTTGCCATCAAACGCACCGGTGCAATATGGAAATTGCCACCTTTTCAAAAGCACGGGCTACAGTATTCATGCTCTGATCCCACTCATCTGACCGATACTCAGCTTTCAAGGCGTCAAGTATGGGATTGATGTGCTTACGGCTGAGGCTTTGGCTGTGGAGGAGGGTTGGCATTCTCCAGGTCATCCACCAGTTTAAGCAGATGCCAGGTTATCTGCACCCAAATGGTAAGCAGTCTTCGCTTATCGGGGCTCACCAGGTTTACGTCAAGGTTCCTGATGGAGATGTTACTACTTTGCAGTCCTCTAATTGATTGGGTACCTGGTGAAAATGCACCCTGTAATTTATACAATTTGGAAACCAAGGCTCTACTCGGCAGAAAAATGGAATTTCCGTCGAGAACCAGTCGCTCCGGTTGAACACAGGTCGCGAAGAGGTCGGGTCGGTCGACTCCGGACGAAATTAATTCGAAATTAGGTCGATATACAGTTCTAGCTGGTCGAGTATAGGTCTTCTCAACTTGGCCGACCTAAATCGAGATAGGTCGACTGAAGTCGAACTAAAATCGAACTAATTAAGGTCGTAAAGGTCCTTACGAGGTCGTTATGAGGTCGTTTTGAGGTCGTTGTGAGGTCGAGATACCTCCCAGGTCGAGACAGGTCGTGTAGTTTGCGAGGTCGAGTCGGTCGAGCTCCCGAGGTCGCCACTGCGACCGCACCATTAGGAGTGGTGCTTTGTATATAGTTTTTACGATTTATACGATTGCCCCATTTCATATAACCCTTTAATATGCATATGTACAAGATTGATGAACCAATTAACCCCACCCCCAACCTGCTCAGACACCCCTTTACAACCATCATGCATATCCCCACCCACCCCAAGCCATAAATTATGAACGGTCCCTTAAAATGTATATCTTTTATTTTACACGACGGTGGAGTATGTGTTGTAGAGTATCCCTGGTTGGACTAGTAATCTATGCATTCTTTTGGTATAGTTCAGGTGCGAATCAAGAAGGAGGGTTGGGTGGTGGTGGAATTTGTTTCCCCAGAGGAGCATTACCCCTTAACCTTTGAACTTCACACATACGGATCCACCCCTGCGGTATTGTTTCTTTAATGGGCGGAGGCGACAGGGTTGAACGATGGGTGATTGGTGGTGATGGGTTGTCAGAATACATTTCTTAAATATCGGTATACAACAAAATAGTTAATCACCTGAATTTAACCTTTTCGAAACGTCACAATCTATACGTCCACGACGTCAAAATACGTAGAGGAACGATATACAAAGACCGATCAATAGTGTTTGTTGTTTAACGCTGCACTCAGAATTAAATATCCAGTCTCAAATCAATGTCCACATTTTTAACTTTGATGTAAAAGAACCGTTTTACTTGAAGGAATAAAGCTGTCATTTTCTTTCATGTCCGCTCTTCCCCACCCAAGTTGTATCAATTTTGGCGAACTCTTGTTTCGCTGAATCATTTTCACTAATCTTACTGCCCTCCGCCCCTATGTCATTCTCCCGTCCCATGTCCAGTGAGAATGACACTTTAAGTTCCACTTCTTTTAAATATTGAAAAAGCCAGAATTCATCCCTCGTGATACAAATCGCCTTTACACTATTCTTGGTTGTGAATTAAAAAGTCACATTGGTTTAATATAAAAATCCAAAAGGTACTGTTCGATTATTATTAAAGTTGTTTCATAACAGATCTTGTACTCGTCACTCTGAGGTCACTGATCGAGCGATCCGAGAGTTGTACTTTACACCGGAAGTAACCTTTGACCTTCACCTGGGGAAAACATGGCCGTGCACAGTAAACTCACGCCAAGGAATTCGGCAATAGTAACGGCCATAGGTGTGGGTTTATACCTTATCTACAAAAATGCCAACCTGAAGAAGTCGAGAAGGTGAGAGTAAATTAGACTCTGAGTTTGTCATTACTTTTAGCTATGACATTATCTAGACACTAACTGCATGGATGACCGATCACTCTCCAGTCTCGGTCCAGGAAAAGCTTGTTGGTGTTAGTCGTCTTGACAGTGTCGGTCGCGTCACAAATTCAGTCTATGCATGTTCGGGGGCGATGTTAAACATTCAGCATTGTTGTATTGCTAGGACGACTGAAAATAGGTTCACATGAATTATGTGTCCCCGAAGCGACATCACTTTTGATAAGGCAAGGTTGAATGATCTACCTGTAACCGGCTTATTGACCCAGCTCATTGTAATGTACTTTATAAGTTACATCACTAGAAAGCTTGTCATGTCTTGCTCGTAATACTGAGGTGTAGCTACAGTGATTAGACACAATGGACTTACGTTTCTCCATTTCTGTTCCAGTAGAAACAAATATTGTTACGTAAGGATCAAAATGGAATAAAAAATACTTTGTAAGAGACATAACAAGGGAACACCCTACCAGGCTCATGACAGCTTGAATAATAAATAAAGATTCTTGATAAATGGGCATGGTAGCTATGAAATCTAATGTTCAGAGTCACTTTACATAACACATGAAGAATTTGGGAGGAAAAAACTAATCTTTCTGTTGCAATAATCTTCCCTTTAGCCTCATCTCATTGGACACATTACAACTCCCGGTCATTCGTTGGTTTCACATTACTTTTCAACTCGCTGTGCGCATGCGAAGAATATCCACTGGCATTTTTCCGGTTTGGTCGTATGTTTATCGATAGTGTAAACACTCCAAAGAAAGCAAAAATCAAAACAAATATATAGTTTTATGTCGAATACAACTGATCCCAATTGATTTATAAAACAGAGGATGGGATTAGTTAAATAATTAGCTTCATTTATGTTAACAAGCTCTTGTATAAAGACATCTCACCACCACCGTCCTTCCCGCACATCCCCTTCTCACAACTAAACAAACACATCTTTGATGGAATGGTCGCGTACTGATCCGTCAAATTTCTGATTTCAGAGTAGTAAAATTCATTCGACGGATCGGCACTGTGATCTTAGCTATGAATTAGTTATCAAAACATTGGATCATACCCAAAAAAAGATGCAATGGGTGTTGGGTGGTTTATATTTTTGTCCTTTTGTACAGTATGTATCTTTGCCAACTCATGTGATGCAATGAGAAATTGATGCATTAAATATATGTTTGGACTCTCTATATTTTTACTTTTGTACAAAATTGAAATTGATGCATTAAATAAAATGCATTCATAAGGAGAAATATATAGTTCGTGATGTTCAAACTTCTCGAGTAGTAATTTAGACTTGGGAGTATAATAATGTAAGGTATACAAAGTCGCATGGTAGGGATTAAACTTAGGCGTCTCTCTAATCTCAAATATCTTTGTTATAAAAATTGCTTAACATAAGGTAAGTTTTTCATTTTGGTTGGCTAGTGGTCCTACAAACTTAACAAAAAAATGGGTGTTTTGTATAATATTCTGGTAGATACTTTTGTCTGCTGACCTCATACCTAGGACATACAAGGAGGACATGGAACTCGTCTTCATCTATGTTTCTACAGAACTGGCAGAGCCATGCATCAGGGTCAGGGTTTTTAGCCCAATACAAACCGACCCGTTAACTAATGAACTTAATGAACGTAGACTCTTCCAGTGTGTTAGACTACAGTCTGAAATTCGACCGATTAGCACAGAACCACTTAAGCATGATTTGACGGATCGGCACTGCTGGCTGTTCAAAATTCGACGGATTAGGTCGTAATCGATGGAATTGCAACCAAAATAGGACATCAATTATTGAAAAGCAAGGGCAAATGGAAGTTTGTACTCAGCTATGAACAGTTGTCACAACGTAAATCACTTTCATAACAGCTTTTATTTAGAGTGCATTTACACTATCCATAAACATACGACCAAACCGGGAAACATGCAGTGGATATTTTTCACATGCTCTGCGCATGCGCACACAGCGAGTTGAAAAGTAATGTGAAACCAACGAATTGCTGGGGTGGACTTTGGCTCATTTTACTGCATGTCTGATCACTCTGGAGTTTTGAAGCTAACCTTTAAAGCATATGATTCCAGCAATGGAATCTTCAATCATATAAATTACAGTCCACATTATTGTAATCAACAACATCTCAACATGGCTGTCATGGCAACCATGGCTGATTGGCCATTAATTTGAATAAACAGACTATTACAATCTGATTCTTATTTGACACTTTGAATTTGAAATCATGTACTAACTGCCTATCAACATGATCAATACAACAATGTTTAGATTATTTTCTCACCTGATCAAACTTTCAGTTCAAGTTAGTTTGTTGTGTTTAACATGACTTTTATGCCTTTTAGGTACTGTATCACCGCATATTGTGCTTTCAGTTCATTTTGTGAACTATGAACAGTAACAATTATAGTTCATATGATTGAAGAAATGTTTAGGTTGTATATGAAATTAGCTTATGGTTTTGTTATTAATCAAATTGTTTCAAACATATCAAATAGACAAACCCAAGTATTTGCTACGACACATTTATATTATTTTTCTACTTCTTTGCACTTTCAGAAATCAGCCAGATATCAAAGTTGTTATATCCGAGGTAAGTTAACATTATACATGTTAAAAGTTCTGGAAACATCCTTTCCTCTTGTTCCCTGCCAGGATATTGCTCAGTTGCTGGAATATTGCTGAAATATTTGACTTGACCAGTAAATGGTTTAGCCACTCAACAACCCTGCCAGACTACCACACCATCACACTACCACACCAGCACTACACCACACCATCACACTACCACACACTACCACACCAGCACTACACCACTATACCACTTCCCCTAGACATGCATGGAATCGATTAGGTTTGACCATCGGTTCGCCTTGCAGGGCTCGATTTAGTGCTTTGTTACTTGCACTGGTGCAACCCAATATTACAAAGTGCAACCTAGTTATGAGTCTAACTTGCACCAGGTGCAAGTCAGTTTTTGAGTGGGTAGACTTCTGAATAAAACATCTAACAAAATTACATATTGCAATAAAAACAGTGCAACTGGAATTTGACTGGTGCAACTAGGTTTTAATCTTAGGTTGCACCTTGTGCAAGTGGGTTAACATCTCCTAAATCGAGCCCTGCCTTGAGTATCTTTCCTTGTTTTTCAGGAAAGTACACATGATTATGTCTTAAAGGGGTAAACATCAAACGTCCTTGTGCAAGAAACGAATGGCATCACTTTCTTCGCAAAACTATTTTAAAATTCACTGACCAATTTCTATCTTCAGCATTTAATGTCCTAGAAACTGAACCCACATGATACTTTGAGATCTGTATCATTACAGCCTTTGCTCCCAAACCAAGCTGACAATCTGTGATATAAGTAAAACACTGATTAAAGTATCATGGTTGTAGTGGAATAGGTAGTCTGACATACAGACCCTGAAACAAACATATCCAAGAAAGCCCGTCTAGATTATGTGGCATGTCTAGATTTCCACAGTTTCTGAAAATGAAGAAAGTCTCAGGGTTCCTTTTCATTATGTATATATTTTATTATGAACTGTTTTTTTCTGTAAAATATGTTCATTTCAGAGACTAGCTGTTAGTCTATGGAATGGGCACAATGTCTATAAGCATGATAAAGCAATAGTTAGTCTGATAATATTGAATTTACATCTGGTAACAGGTGTCACAGGAGTTTATTGGCAAATGATATCGGTTATAAATAAATTCATGATGGATGACATGTCCTTGATTGTTTGTAGTCTGCACTGGGAATTACCCGATATTTTGAAGAGCTTGTTGTATCAGTTTTGTTTATCCGTGAATTGATCTTTTTTTCATTTCATATTTGTACCGTCGTTTTGACCTTGGAACTTACCTACCTTAGCTTACACTAAGTTACAGTAAATAAAGCCAGGTATTGATGTAGACCGTTGCTATTGGTTTACTAAATACTGATTGATTATCAGTAAATGTCAGAGAAATAACTGAATCTAAAACCAAAAAAAGTCCCCGCCAAAATCAAAGTTCACATCGCTGGTGAGTGGTGACACTTTTATGTATTGATTTCTACCAAAAACTGCATTAACATGATTTGGAAGCAGCCCATGAATAAGCATGATCAAGACACAACTTTATGTATTGGGTTTGTAAATTTACACATTGTTTCATCGCAGTAAGTTATGTAAGGTGTTATAGATGATGATTTTCATATTGATAATCATAAATTGTTGTTTCCATGGATGGTATTTCTGATTACCAACATTTTCATCAAGTCCTAACTGTAAATTATGTAATGATGTTACAAGTCACAAAAGTTAGGTTAAATTATGTGATTTCTTCACAAACATAACTTCTGCTTGTCACATTGACCACCTGATGCAATGAGAAGCATTTAATCTAGTACTTCACATAATTTATTGGGGGCGGTGGGGTAGCCTAATGGTTAAAGCTTTTGCTCGTCATGCCGAAGACCCGAGTTCAATTCAACTCACTCACATATTTATTGGGAGGTTTGTTGTGTGAGTCATTGTTTCCACACACTTAGTGAACCTGATTTATCGTAAACTTCAATATGATCAAAATGTGTTAATGCTAGTAAGGGATGCTTTGTATAGTTTCAATGTATAGTTTATTAATTTCATTGTAATTAATAAACTTACCATGCTAAAATCTGATGATTACAAATCATTGTTGAGCCAGAACATATTTTTTTGGTATGGATTATCTTAACAAAGTTGTTTTTTAAGTTCTGCATGCAGTATCTGATTTTTCAAAATGGCTGTCTTATTGAAAATCTGATTTATAACTGCCTATAATACTGCCATATTGTATGTTCACTAGGTCTGAATGTATGTTTGCTTCAGTTGTTTAGTTTGTGTGTGTACTTTGAACTTTGATTGTGTTGCAGCATGGCCAGAAGAAGGAAAAAGCTGCAGTCGATGGTGTGTTTCTCAGGTAGGTAATCCATTGTACAATTCATATGTTGATTAATTTCATTAAATCATCTGTCGAATGTATTTGAACAAAGAAGCGAACAGATGGTGAGGATGTTTCAAGATAGTTTATGACTTATTCATTGCTGCTGGTTAATGAAATATGGGGGAAATATGCTGAAATCCAATAAAAATGCATCAGAAATGTTTTATCTCCCTGATAATGTCCGATGACACTGAAAATGTAAATCAAGATGAAAATGCAAGAAGGATGAAAAGGCAGTCAGTAGTGCAACCATAAATGAACAATAACATTGACAGGGATCAAGGAAAACTTTCACACAGGCAGTGTCAGGAACGTCGGGGGACTGATGATACCCCTTCTTCCACGAATGATACTGGCTGCTCTGGACGCTGGCTTGAACCTGTTCATTAAATGAGTGTAGAAATGTAATGATCTTGGTCGTGACACATGGTTGCCCTGGGCATGTTGTGCCAGTTTGTCGTAGGCTCTGTGATAACCTCACGATTTTTTAATTAAACCTTTTGGCCACTTGACCTGGCTGTAGACAAACCTCAAGAAACCAAACAGCTCTTTCTCTCTCAATGGCTGTTAAATGTGGCATTATGTGAAGTCAACAATTTGGTGATGTTCAGGATGGTGGGTCACATGATCACACTTGGATGCACTTGTTCTCGGTGTGCATCACGTTTAGCTGTCAAATTCAGATTATTTCAAGCTCAGTTTAGGTTTAAAAATTCATTTTGAATCCTCCATGATCAATGCTAATAGGGTGATGCATTTTTAATGGATTTCAGTGTATGTTGAAAGTCTTGTGTGTAATTGTTGTTAGAATTAGCTGTATTTTACCTGATATGATTGCATTCTATTCTCCCATTAATTGTAAACAGGAACAAATAACCAACATTGAAAATCTTTGAGGATATGAACCATATGTTATGTACAGTTAACTAGTAAGAAATACCATCAAATTTCAAGTTTCTTTAACTTCTGTCAAACATTGAAATCCCCATCCATATTTGGCTGAAGGCTTCTTAGCATGAACAGAAGGACCATGGTGAATGGTCTAGTATATGCTGAATCCAATCATATTCTGGACATTGAGGAGGTTTCTGTGTATTTATTACAGAACAAGCATGGGAGGTGTTTGAAAAAATGTTATTTTTGTTGTGTCAGCAGCTACGATAAAGTTTTGTTAAATGCCACTTCTGAGAGCGTTTATAATGTTTATACCACAGCATGTCAGCTTCATTTGGGAGGAGGGGTAGCCTGATGGTTAAAGCGTCTGCTCGTCACACTGAAGATCCGGGTTCGATTCAGCACATGGGCACAATGTGCGAAACCTATTTCTTGTGTCTCCCACCGTGATATTGCTGGAATATTGCTAACAGCGGTGTACAATCATACTCACTCGTGTGGGAGGAAAGGCTTGAGTGATGTAGGCCTCTGACTCCCTCCACATCGGTGAAACGCATGATCATGAATATGATGAATATATATTGCTGAAAAGCCTAGACGTAATTGGGAAGAACCAGGATTCCTATGTTGCTGGTATGCCCAAGGGACTCAAATTGTTCAGTTCACATTGATATGAAATGCACGAAGATAACCCACCTAGCAAAGGTTAAGGTCCGGGGTAAGAACTGGTTTTGACCAGTCTATTCTCACCAAGAGAGGTGACAAATAGGAGCAAGAGGTCAGATTCACTAACTTGGTTGATGCATGCCATTGTATCCCACTTGTCTAGATAATGCTCATGAAGTCAATCACGAGATTGTCTTGTCCAAACTAACTTTCTAAGAGACTTCTGTCAGATAGTTTGAATATTGCTGACTGGTGTTAAACAAGAAACAAATGTTGCTATGGTAACTTATAGCTATATATAATATTACAAACATCCCTGAAGGCCATAGTGGGGGGTTCCAGGTAAAATAAACATGGGAAAGATTCACAGTCTGCCACTACTAGTGGTCCAATGGATGTTGTGTTTTCTCTTGGCACAATAGACCGATCCAGTCCCGGCCGATAAGCCCCACCCACTTCGTTTTTGATGTTAGAGGGGACAACCACTGACTAATCACAATGGCATCACCGCCGTCAAAACGTGCGTGACTGCGAACCTTTTTGATGAATTCTGCTCGTGGTACTTTGGTATCCGTCGTTTGTGAATGATATTTAAAGAGGCAAGTTATACGTATGTGATTTTTAATATATTTTAATTGGCAGATTGCAATTGGCGAGTGAAAATGAGTTACATGCCCGATGAAAAATCGTCTCGACCAGTTGCTAAAAGTAGGAAGCGTATTTTCTTTCGAATCAATTAATTTATCTGGCTATTTACCTCCGTCAAAGATATTAGCAGGGGAAGGGTAAATGAATTTTGTTGTTTGGTGGTTTTTTTAAAAAATTCCCATCATAATTTTATAAAAATCGTGAACACAACCACATGTAAATGATATTCATGTTGCAGATCGTTTCGGTATCTGTAAAATGATTGTCAACGCTGCGCGTGGAGCCTTTACTTATTCATCCGTTGTTCAAATTTAGTTAAATCAATAATCTGATAACATGGGTTTCTATCTTTTAATGAATTAAAAGAATGGTAAATAAAAACAAAACAGAAAATATCTGTATACAGTAATATATATTAATGTAAACAAATCAATCACAGCATAACTTATTTGATCTTATTTGGAAATCTGGAAAATGTGATTGGGCTTGTAAACAGTATGTTTCCATGGATGTATCTGGACCAAATATTCAGCAGCTGATCTGCAGCAATTCTCAGTAAAGTTTCCCTCTTCAAAATCAGTACACCATCCTAAAATGACACTGAATATGAGGAAAAAATCCTTTTTTTAATGATCCTTTCCTATTTATTTTTCTATATGTACTTTGTTGTGGTATCCTAATTTACATACAAATTTCCACAATACTGGACTTCATGAACTGCCAGGTATGTCACAGCACCAGAACGCAAAGAAGATCCAAGATTCAGTCTGCACCTGTACACTGACCCATCTTCCAGAAACAGGAAACCAGTGATGCAAAATCTTTGAACAGAGGATCCACCGTTATCCGAACAATTAACTAGCATTGTGATAGGCAACTGCTGACACTGACTATATTTCTGTTTGAATAAAAAAATATTACTCCTCGAATATTTTGCACTATTAACAAGATACTGTATGCCTTCAGATTGTGCTTTTGAAACTTAAAACATCCTAAAATGTGTGACAAATTTAAGAATATCTAAGAGCGAAGGGAACAACATCCGCCACATTGTTATCCCCCGCAACAACGAAGTTGAGGGGGATATAGAAACGAGTCCTGTTCGTGCATCCGTCCGTCCGTGTGTCCGTCACACTTTGTCCAAAGCATATCTCCTAAACTATTTGTGATAGCTTAACCAAACTTGGTACACGTATCAAGCATGATCCCTAGATGTGCCTTTTGGGGGGTTAGACCCAGATGCAAATTTTATTTTTTGTGGTTTCCATGGAAACGTTCCTTAGGCTGTGACTATGAGGATGTCATCTTGTCCGGAGCATATCTCCTAAACTATATGTGCTAGCTTCATCAAACTTGGTGCACATATCAAGCATGATCCCTAGATGTGCCTTTTGGGGGTTTGACCCAGATATGAATTTTATTGTTTGTGGTTTCCATGGAAACGTTCCTTAGGCTGTGACTATGAGGATGTCATCTTGTCTGAAGCATATTTCCTAAACTATACGTGCTAGCTTCATCAAACTTGCTACACATATCAAGCATGACCCCTAGATGTGCCTTTTGGGGGTTAGACCCAGATATGAATTTTATTGTTTGTGGTTTCCATGGAAACATGGCTTAGGCTGTGACTGTGAGGATGTCATTTTGTCTGGAGCAGATCTCCTAAACTATACGTGCTAGCTTCATCAAACTTGGTACACATATCAAGCATGATCCCTTGAGTCCCATCCAGGGTTCAAACCCACACACTCAGTGTCAGGCACTCATTCGCCAGTACACAAAGTCAGCCGCCTAACCCGCTCAGCCACCACAGTTTCCATATAACTAATATACTGTACAATAGAGATTTTTTAACCCATGCTTGTCATAAGAGGCGACTAGCGGGATTGGGTGGTCAGACTCACTATCATGGTTGACACATGTCATCATATCCAAATTGCTTAGATTAGTGCTCATGTTGTTGATCACCAGATTTCTGGTCCAGACTTGATTATTTTGCTGTCATGTAGTTAGAATATTGCTGAGTGTGGTGTTAAACAACAAACAAACAAACCAACTTGACTCTCATACATTCAGGTCATTGCGTCACATGCATCACGTCAGGGTTGTCCAGAATATAAGTGGAATATTTTTCAAAGCTGTGTTAAACCAGACCTACACATCATTGACCTTTCATTTCACATTAACAGGAGGCTGATGCACATTTTGAAGATTCTCATCCCAGGATGGTTCACACCAGAGGTAAGGCAGCAGTGATTAATTTAGTAATTGTGATGTGAAGATTGGACTGGGGAACAAGGGAGAACCTGTGAAGATCCGGGTTAGAACTGGTTTTCAGCAACCCATGCTTGTCATAAGAGGCGACTAATGGATTGGGTTGTCAGACTTGTTCAATGCATGCCATCGTACCCCAATTTCGAAGATGGATGCTACTCTAGATTATTTACTGTCTGCTGTCATGAAGTTTACAATGAAAACAAAAAATACAATTGGTGAAATAAATGGCATAAGCAGAAGTATCCTGGCCTGTAGTTAATGGCTGCATGTCCATAAAACTTTGATATTTTATCAATGTTGAATTTCTAGAAACAAGCCAGTTTCTGTTCTGGAATCTTGAATAGTGCCTGGACCTTGAAGTAATTCATTGTTTTCAGTTTTCAGACAGTGTATTCAATCTGTATGTACCAATTAGGTGGTTGTCAGGTCATGGAAGGTCTGTCGTCAACATCATATCTTTCTTATGGGCACAACTTCCATTTTCTCATGGTACAATGTGTGAAGCCCATTTCTTGTGTTCCCCATAGTGATGTTTCAGGAATTTGGCTAAAAGCAGCTTAGAACCACCAACTCAAGAAGCAGGTCATTCCAAATATTGAACTATCATGATCAGGCTCTCTCATCTGTCAATGATCAGGGAGGTAACTCTTAATTTTACTCAGCTGACCACCCTCAGCATTTTACCATCACTTCACTCAGCTGACAATCACTTGAAATAAACTTCCAACAGTCACTACTGCCAAATAAAACTATTTGACATTTGGTAAATTTGAGGTAAATTTGCAGATTGGGGAAATACTTTGGAGTGAAGTGATTATGATGTTCTTAATATATTACAGGCGTGGTACATGCTGATGGTGGCTCTTTCCCTGATAGCTCGGACATACGCTGATGTGTGGATGATACAGAATGGTACAGCAATAGAAAGGTATGTCATAAAGATTTCATATAACCATCAGTACACATGCTTTATTGATAATAGTTTCAAGACATTTTCATACCTTTGAAGAATATGTTGACTTTTGATCTTGCAGATATACTATTTGCCTTTTTCCCACCAGTCCCTGCATGAAAGAAAAGAATCACAATCTAAACTATTCAACATGCATGTGAATACATCATCATTCTACCATCACAAGTAATAAGTCATCAGCAAGTCCAGACTTTCTGTCCAGAGTTGCTTCCCTTGGACTTGCATTAAAACCTTTCATAATGGATTTAAGTCACAGTCATGCTGAATAAGTTTGTACAGCTTATTCAGCTTGATCTGATCAAGTGAATACTAATGCATTGCATGACTGTGTCACAACTGGTTGGGTCTATTATTGTGAAGGGGTGCACCTTTGTCAGTCGATTGTCAACATGTTTGATATCTCAGTGTCCAGAAATCGTCAGCAATGTCTTTAAACTTAAGAAAGAAGCTACATATGGTTTAATGTTTCTGATTCGGGCTTTTAGGCAGTGAGCAGCAACATTAATAACATTCTCTGCTCCCCTATTTAATGAAGTTAACTCGACCTGCCGTTTGTGCCATTTGACCTCCCGGGTCATGCATATGTAGAGTAGCTCAGGTCAAGCTGAACAAGCTGTAGGTTTGTGGTCTGGTCTTAACTCCCACATTAGAAAGCAGCATTACATCAGTCCACTGCCTCATCTGCAGAAGTTAGTGAATCAAACACAAATGTAGCAATCATCCAGTGCAGAGGATATTTTATTGTATTGATTTTTGTGTCATTTCAGTGCAATCATTGGAAGAAATATGGAACTCTTCAAGAAGCATCTGCTGCAGTTTGTTTATGCTATGCCTGCTGTAAGTTATGTTTGTATGCTATTTCATAATTATCCAAAATTCATACCTGTCATTATGACACTTTGTGGGCTTCTGGACACTCTGAATTTCTTTAGATTTTCAGTTGACATTTTGTTATCAGAGCACATACCAAAGTCAGTAGTGATTTAAACTTTGATGCTTGATTTTTAACAATATTTTGTACAGAATCTGCATCACTAGGGGTGGATGATAAGGTGGACAGACTCAGAAATAAAAATAAAAATCTATTAAAAAATATTAAATCCAAAACAATCCCAGATCAATTTTTAGTACACAAACCCTGAACTGAGGCAGTTTAGACTTACCAAGTCATACTACACATGGGTTGGATTCATTTTTATGGTTGTTCTCTGGAATAAGACAAATGATATGGGAGGTCGTGTTAAGGGTCATTGTACTTTGGATGGGTCCACCAGTTCACTAATCCCCTTGATCCGGTTATGGCCTGGGAAAGCGAAATCTGGACTAAACCTCCTCAGTTTAGGTTTTCGCTTTTAGCGGGAAAGGTCAAGCTACAGTTAACACTGAATTTCGCGTTCCCGGGACTCTCAATACACAAGAAAAACAAAGAAGTGTGAGTCATTGTCTGATACCGTAGACATGGTAGAAATTTTATATATATAAATAACAATAAATGTTTGAGCCACAGACTTTTCACCGATAGGTCACATGGATGGATCATGTGGAGGTGGAATTGAAAATATCGTGCATAGACAACTTACATTGTTAAGCATTCATTGACGTTATTTACGTTACCGCAATGTAATTTACGTTACTTATATATATAGGGCGATAACAACCTAAAACTACTTTCACTTGTCAAAGTTTGATTCACATTTGATATTTCGGCAATGCCAGAGAACAAAACACAAAAGTTTCGCGAAACTTTCCAAATTTCCAAATATGGCGGTAACGTTAATTATAGTAACGTAAATTAATTCTGGTAATGAATAATGTTATGGCAAGATGAATAAATACAGAATGCTTGGTTGGGGCACATGTATAACAACAGACCGCTGGACCCCAAATGTACAGTGATGAAGACTATTACTGGGATGCTAGATTTTGAGTTATAACGGTAACGTATGATTACTTGCTTAAAAAATCTCTACTGATGTCGAGCATATTTTTCCATATTGTAAGAAAAATCAATGTTAACAAAACTATATGTTTTTAGATATCGAGAATAGATGAACAGGCCAATCAAGAAAAATTATCTTGTGGGTCTGTGCGATGATTTACCACAAGAAAAGCTGTAAACAAACACAACAAATTTTACTACACAGCTCCAATAGTTTTTTATTCGGAGGGTTTTCCTACACCGATGCTTAAACTTGTCATAGATCAAGTGCTGAAGCTTGAAGCAACTGAAATTTATCTCAGTTAGAGGCTAACAGATCGAGTATTGGGGTTGCGCGTTAATCTGAAGTACGGTAATCCAATGTTTTCATAGCAATTCGCTTTCGCGGCACTTCTAGCACAACTTTGGTTTTCGCTTTACCGGGAATATTGAAATTTCGCTTTCCCGGGCCGACACCCTTGATCCTCCACGAGATCAGTGTTTATGTTTTATTGCATTATACAGAATGTCTTCCTCGCACCCATGAGGTATTTGACTGAAGAAATGTTCTTTTCATGTTATAATGAACTGTTTCAGTAGTTTCAATGTATGCTTTATATTTGTTTCAGATTTCAACTGTGAATAATTGTCTGAAGGTTAGTATCATTCTTGTAATTGTCCCCTGCCGCAACGCGGGAACAGGGGACTATGTATTCAGCGGCGTCCATCCATCCGTATGGACGTCCCGATTCTTGTTAACACGATATGTCATGAACCGTTGTACCCAGTTTTGGTGACCTTGACCTTAATTTGAAGGTCACCTCAACACTTTGACCACTTTTCAACCTCTTGTTAACGCGATATCTCATGAACTGTTGTACCCAATATCTTCAAATTTTGTGACAGCTTACATTGGGTGATATGCAGACACCATTTGATTTGGGTGACCTTGACCATAATTTCAAAGTCACCACGACAATTTGACCACTTTTCAACCTCTTGTTCACGCGATATCTCATGATCTGTTGTACCCAATGTCTTCAAATTTTGTGACAACCTACATTAGGGGATTACGCAGACACCATTTCATTTGGGTGACCATAACCTTATCTTCAAGGTCACCACAACAATTTGACCACTTTTCAAACTTATGTGAATGCTCATGAACTGTTGCACCCAATGTCTCCAATGATGTTGACAGCCTACATTGGGTGATTATGCAGACACCAGTCATTTCTTGTGTGTGACCAAAAACAAAAAGTAGGAAATTTGTTATAAATATGTCATTCTTCTTTAGCGGCGGGAGACATTGCCATATTAGTGGCAAACACTTGTTTGTAATATTTTCTTAAAATGTTTAACAATTTAACAAATTGCTGCGTTTGTGTGTTCTTAATCTTTGTACCATTCATTTGTTTCCCTGGCAATTCTGGGATTCCAGAATAGTTTCCCTGATAACCTATGTTTGTTGTAAGAGGTAAAGGATTCAATTGTCAGGCTAGGTGTCTTAGACATTGTGCAATAATCTAATACAGTATATTACCACTGGCCCCCTATTCCTGAAATGTTCGTAGGCCTAACAACTTCTTAAAACCCTGCTTAGCGCTTGTGAACTTCTATTATCCTATTCTCAAAATGTTCTTAGCCTTACGAATTCTTAAATTTAAGAAAAAAAACCTTGAGATTCACAAATTAAAAATGGTGGTGTCGATTGTGCTTGTGACGTCAGGGGGGAACACCCCTACTAAATCTCCCTTTGAGACAAAAGAGTTCCTTTCGTAACTTACAAAAAGTTACTAAAACTTGACTAGTAATGCTGGGGTTACGAACACAATAAGAACGTTTCAAGAACAGGTTGTAAGCATTTTCCTAAGAATTCTTATCTTTTGGCGTAAGCAGTTAAGAATTCATAGCTCTACGAACATTTTGAGAAAAGACTCACTGGTTCTTTATGACAGGCCTCCATCATATCAGTGAAATAATACTATTATCAATATATATTATATATGTTGCAATATATTTAAGAAGACTACTTTATTTTGGATATTCTTGGATGATAGAAATCCAACACTGTCGTTTTAGATATCATGAATGTATTTGACAGTACTAAATGTCAGTCTCACAAATTCCTTGTGATTGTTTTCTGTGTTATTTCAGTACGGGCTTAATGAACTGAAGGTTCGGTTCCGCTCCAGATTGACTCATCATCTTTATGACAGTTACCTCAAGTGAGTTACCTCTAGTAGTTATAGTGGCCGACAAATTTGGCAGTTGCAGTTGTATTTCAAAAACAAGAAAACTATTGTCATGATTGTGATCATAACAAATCTGACTACAGTTGCATAGTTTCGAAATACCTGTATCTCAAATGGTTTTGGCTCACCCAGCTGACACAACCTCAGATTACTAGCCAATGTTGTTCTAAGATGACAACTGGATGTGTGTAGCCACAATGTCCTCCTGAAGCATAGATTTCTCTGCATAATCAAATTGATGACAAATTCTACCACAATGCCGAGTCTTAAATTCTACAAATTATTTGAGAAAATGTTACGGAGTATGGTAAATGTCTTACCCTTAGAATGGGAAATTTTCTGCTGTGAAGTTATTAATGTTTCCTAATTAAGTTTTGTGTGTCCATTCAAGCAAGGAATAGTTTCAGACATTGCTTCAATTAAATATTTAGTTAGATAAGATAATTCAAGGTTTTTTGTCCTCAACCATTTCAACAACTCCTTCATTTCCAGAGGGTTTACTTTCTACAAGATGAGCAACCTTGACAACAGGATTTCCAATGCTGATCAACTTCTGACACAGGATGTAGAGAAATTCTGTGACTCAGTGGCTGAGCTGTACTCCAACCTCAGCAAGGTAGACAATCGGGAGATTATAGGAGGCTGTTGTTTTAATGCCTAAGCAATAGATAACCGTGATACATATATAGAGATTTTTACACGAGCAAGTGTGTCATACGATTTGTACGAAACAAGTGTGGAATTTGGTATTTTGCAATGCATAAATTTGCATGAGTTTAGTTTAAGTCACACTTGCTCGAGTGTAATAATTTCTTTATTATCCATTTTTTTCATGTACAGTTGTGCAGTAAAACACGGTAAGCAAATGTGACATCCCTCTTCATTGATGTTACGTTCAAATGTTTAATGACGTCACAGCCGACGAAATACAGAAACAATGGCTGCTAGGCATAAGTGTTATGCGTGCATGTACACATATGATATATATGACACTGGTTATGTTTCACCAAATGGGTAATAAATAGTTTTATCGACTGTTAAACCCCTGGTAGATGCGTAGGATATGTAGTAGGACTTGGAGACATCCCACAGTTGATCAGATTATTAATGGGGTTAACCTCTTTGGTGATGTGGACAGGGCAGCAGACTTCGGATCAGAGCGTCTGTGGTTTGAATCCCATCCTAGGTATGAGACATTTTGTTCCTGCTACTGGCGAGCAGTCAAATACATCATAGAGTTATCTTCTCCTAACTGATTGTTGGATATTGACTGCAACAGCATCTATTGTGTCGAAACAAATTTTTGTTTTGTTATTTATACTTTCTCATGTCATGTCATTCTGAGTCCACAGTCCACACACTGGTTGACATTTCTGTGACAAAGGTCTTAGACTGTTATGGAGCATAGTATCAGACCAATATCAACTTACAGTGTTACACTAAAATCAATGTCCTTCCAAATAAGTTTTTTATGTTCAACAATTGGTAGTAATCTAATTTGGAAGTTGAAATGTGTTGTATGTTGACACTGTTGGGCGACGGGGAGCCTCATGGTTGATGCATTTGCTCTTCACACCAAAGACCTGGGTTTGATTCCCACATGGGTAAAATATGTGAAGTCCATTTTGGGTGTCATTGCTGGAATAATGCCAGACTAACCATTAGTCCCAGAATATAAATAATTTAAATTTAAAAGGATCCCCAGTTAGTTGGGAGATTCAGAACCGGAGTGAATCTAAACTTGTTTCATTTAGGGCTTTAGCACTGCAGGGAGCGTTCGGCAAAAATAATGTGGTTCAGGAACTGTGAGACAGACTAGAATAGTGCTAACAACGGCAATAAACTATACTCACTCATTCCCTCACTCATTCACACACTCTCATTCATGCATGTTGAATTTCATACTAAATATATTGTAAAGTAACTAATAATATATTAAAGTCTCAAAAGCGTGAAACTCCATGTTATTTTATATGTTATTTAGCTATGTCTTGACTGAATACTACATCCGACGATCTGTTTCTGTGCAGCCTGTCCTAGATGTGGTTCTCTACACCTTCAAGTTGACTGGAGCCATTGGACCTCAGGCAAGTTACAGCTTCATCATCTATACCATGTATATAGGCATTTATCTTACCTCATACATAACTGTCTTTTCTGATTGGCTGAGCCAATCAATGTACACCGCTCACAAGCGAGTATTTTTCTATGTTACCCACTGGAAATGTCGGAATTTTGGGAATTCATTTTGGTACTTTGTGTTAGTAGTATTTGGGCTGTTGCCTAACTCTGGTACTCCTTATTATGATCCAATACCTGTGCTTCAAACAGTTCAAAATTAACATTGAGGTTGTTTACTGGTCCCTCGGGTCCCATGGGTTGATGTACCCTCTATGATGTACCCTCTATGTTTGTGTATGTTCCCTAAGCATCAACCTGTGTGCCCCCTTGTGACCAGTGAACAACTTATAATGTGGTCTCCATTATTTCAAATTGTGTCGCTCCAAAATTCTAAAATGTATTGTAGGTTTTAAGACAACTTTTAGAAATTATTCATTGTAATTTGCACTTACATCCCACACAGGAGTATATTTATAATATCCAATATTGATAGAAGTAGTGTTAGCCACAAGTGTTGGTGTGTACTAGACTGAAAATGGTTCTTAGATAATTCAAGTTAAATGGACATTTATTACCTGAGCTTACATGAAAAAAACTGTTAGGAGTCGAACTAGTCAGTAAAGTCACAGAACAAAAATAAAAGCTTGGAATCATCTTGATCATTTCAGAGAACAATAAATATTCTTTTGAACTTGTGTGATGTTTATGTTATGTATTGAATGTATGTTTCAGGGTCCTGCATACATGCTGGGCTATCTGGCATTATCTGGCTTGATTCTTACACGGTATGAGCTGTTTGGTTCATGACGCATTACTGCTTATTCATTCTAGTTGAATAATGTGTGTTAACTTAGCCCAAAGATGGAATTTGTGCAGATCTTGATCCTGTTTATGTTTGTAGGGGATATATTGGAGCAGTATCATCGTCTCCACTGGAGGACAATCAAGCTCAGATTTGAGGCGTTGATCATATTCAAACTCAGGGCTTCTTGGTGTGAGAGTTAATTAAAAGCCACTTTAAGAATGTTTCTCACTAATTGAAGATTTTTTAAATAGCTAATGTGCACCTTGGGAAAGGTCACTGACTCACAAGGTTTCAAATGACCCTCTCAAAGATGGGGAATGTTTTTGGTCATAAGAGACAATTGTTCTGTCGGTAGTCATTTGGAGAGCCAAGTTGGAGCCCTGAGTTATTGATAAAAGATGATTGAATATCAATCTGCAGAAATATGAGGAAGAAATGTTATTTTGGTAGATACACTTATACTCTATCTATACTCTATTTTGTTGTTTCCAGAATGTATTATTTTTCCTTATCCTGACTCATGCTCTTTTGCTTGTCTTCTTCTTCTTGCGAACATAGTGGAACACTTGTATCTCCCTAATTGAAGCTCCCTTCAATGTAAAATCACTAATTAGTACTCACCAAGAGTTGCCTCCCTCTTCCAAATGCGCGTGAAAGGAGGCGCCACCTCTTCCCTCATGCTTCACTCTCTCCTTCTTCGCCCAGTGAGCAGGATGTGAGAGCGCCTGTGTCTCCCTACACACTATATCCTTTGATTATTCTTAGTTAGTTACCTCTGGTAGTCATCTATAGAGGTTTAGCTAGTATCTTTCAACAATTATGTATTGATATTTATTCGTATTTCTGCTGTTTATTCACGGGACGCCGTGATTGTTCAGCAGTATTGCGTTGATGAAAATCTGTACTGTTTGTAGACTACGTTTTTCTGCTGCCGATCCGCATCAAGCATATGCATTTTAATATGCTAGCTGTACTGCACTATGTGCATTTTCTTCACGTTGCAGTTACTGTAAAAATTTGTCTAACTCTGCATTTAACAAATATTATCTTTGCGTCTTGAGACGCAGCAGATAGGTCACGTAAACAGAGCCTAGCCATGGCCAATACTTCGGAACCCCTAGCCAGTCAACTGCTGTCGGACGACCCCCTCCCGTCTGGTGTTCCGCTAGAGTTACCCTCGGAGGAGAGGCTTGGGACGCAGTCCGCTAGCTCCAAGAAGCGTCCTGCATCCCCAGACATCCCGTTGTCGCAGCCGAAGACTAAGAGGGCTTCCACTTCGTCACAACACAGACTCCGTACCCCCAGGGCAGCGTCTACCTCCCAGGGGAAACCAGCGAAGTCTACTAGGACATTCTCAGCCGAGATTGTTCCCGCCGCAGAACTGGGCCTGTATGATGATCAGCCGATCATCATACCCGATGTAGGCCACAAGAAACGACCGGTGTCGGCTACAGTGACGTCAGCGCAGATCAACACGCAGTCTGATATACCAACGCTGATGTCTGACGATATTCCTGAGGGTCCCATCGCTACCAACGCAGAGAGGGCACCATCTACATCTTCGCAGACCGTCCCAGACGACCTGGTCCTACACATTATGAAGATGATGGAAGACCGCTACGGCCTGGAGAGACAACCAGCCCAGAGGCCGAGCCTTAGCGAAGGCTCCTACGTAGACGACACCCCAGAGGGACCCTCCATCAAAGCGGCCGCTATCAAGTCATCGATGGGGAAGCCACCTTCACGAAGGTCGTCACAGCCAACCTCAGCGAAGGACCAAGATGTACAGCCTTCGCGAAGGACAGCTAGATTGTCACCTGCCTCGGACTCCGATGATCATCCAGGAGGTGCACGAAGGAAGATCCTCTCATCCCCGGACTCTGACCTGGACCCACAACCTTCGCGAAGGTCAAGTCGTCACTCCCCAGGACCGGACTCAGATGAAGCTTCGCGAAGGTCTTAGCGAAGGGCTCCATTTACAGGCTCCAAGTCATCTTCGTCTACAAGGTCATCGAGGGATTCCACAAGAGCTTCGCGAAGCTATCAACGTTCACCACATAGATCTCCGCGAAGGTCACCATATCGACGCAGTTCACCAGGCCGTTCTCCACGACGATCTCCTCGCCGATCTCCACGTCGATCACCTTGTCGTTCACCTCGTCATTCACCACGTCGATCTCCACGCAGGTCATCACACCGTTCAGCCTCACAAGTCTTCACGGAAGTCCCCAGACAGGTCTCCGTTGACGTCACCCTGCACAGCTGTAGAAGTATACAGGTCTCCACCTCAGTCACCATCGGATCAACCTCTTATTTGCGATCCCGTTACAGAAGATGATGGAGGCATCATATTCTCCGACGCAGAAATACGCTACTGGATGGTTAACAACCTGGACCTAGCTTCACCTTCCAAGAACGGTAACCCGGCCCACACTTATCTCATGAGGGAGGACGATGCAGACACCATCACCCTACCTCCGATCGAACCCGATAGCAACAGTCTCTCAGAATCTGGACACAGCCTTCCATAAAGCCACTAAAGCCCAGGGCCCGCACTTACCACAGTTCAACGCCAAAAAGTTCTCAACCCACAATATGGACCCATTTTTCAAGGCACAAGATATCGACGATAACTTCAAAGTAATCAACGATGCTAAGAATAAGACCTACAAGATAGACGACCGCAAGCTGGTGCAGATCGAAACCATGACAAGGAGAATGTTCTTCGGCCTTAACAGATCAAGAACGGTTAATGAAACTCTCATCACCAGATTTCGTGATTCTACATCAGAAGATGACAGAATGATTTACTCGGCCCTCCTTATGCAGGAGAAGGACCAGCAGTTCTTAACGGATCACCTACATCACGGATATCGAATCCAACTACAGGCCACGCCTCCGCTTACAGTCAACCCTCACAAGTTCGACTTTCAGGCGCAACAACTACTAAAGTTAAGAGAAGCTGTTGCATCACTACTAACCAAGCAGGCCATAGAAGTACTGGATCAAGTAAACATCGAACCAGGCTTCTACTCCCCAGTTTTCCTAGTGCCCAAGAAAAACTCCAGGGAAAAGTTCAGACTCATCTACAACATGAGCACGTTCAACAGAGATTATCTACGCAAACCGCCAACGTTTCGCATGATACATCTACCTCAACTTCGGCACCTAATTCGTCCCATGGACTACATGGCCAGTATAGACCTGCAGGATGCGCGTATCTACATATCCCCATACATCCCGAATCCAGGAAATACCTACGGTTTACACTAGACGGGCTGCATTATCAATGGAGAGTACTCCCATTTGGAATATCATCGGCCCCTGGTTATTCACAAGAGTAACGAAACCCATCGTCACTTACCTACATCGTCTAGGGCTACGCTACGGAGTGCGTTCTACCTCGACGACGGGATTCAAGTAGATCAAGATCCACAGCGTCTCAAACTACAGTTAAACTACATCATCAAGCTACTAACACAGCTAGGATGGTTAGTAAATCTACTCAAGTCGGACCTAGAACCTACGCAAGATCTGCAATTTCTAGGCATTCGATTTATCACGACACAGAACCGTATCGTCGTACCGGAGGACCGATGGCTCAAGATCCAACAGACCATCCCACAAGCCTTACTCTCTCCTCTACCACTAACGACAATGGCAGAGTCTGTTGGGTCTCCTCACGTCAGCCCAAGACATGACAGTCAGAGGCAGACTACAGTTACGTCCGTTACAGGTCCTCATCAACGCTCATCTCGACGACCTACAACCATTCAGTCTACCGAAGCACATCAGACCTCATCTACTATGGTGGACCAGGAGGTCGAATGTCTGCGAAGGCATCTTTTAACAGAGCCGAATTCAAAACCCATCTCTATGTAGGACGCTGTCGCTCCAAAGTTGGGGAGCTCATCTCGCCAACCGGATGGCATCAGGGTTATGGAACCAGCAAGAGAGCAAGCTGCACATAAACATGCTAGAAATGAAAGCAGTAATCAACGCCCTACTACATTGGAGCACTATTCTACAGAATGCGCATCTGATGATTCACACCGACAACTCAACAGTGGCGTTTTATGTAAACAAACAAGGCTCAACGAGATCATTGAACCTATTGACTCTATGCTTTCAACTGTTCGATCTAATCGGCGATCTCAACATACATGTCAGAGCATGCCACATTCCGGGAGCCAAGAATGTACTAGCAGACGCACTCTCTCGGCCACATCTACCGTCACCGACAGAATGGATGCTCCATACAGAAATCTTTGCACAGATTATCAAGGAAATAGGAGCTCCGCTAGTAGACCTATTCGCCACTCGCTTCAACAATCAGCTAACAACATTCGTATCACCAGTCCTGGATCCACAGGCGTGGGCAACTGACGCACTAAGCATATCCTGGGAAGGCCTCAACGCGTACACGTTTCCGCCGCCAGCGCTAATTCCACAGGTGTTACAGAAAATCAGTCAAACACAGAGCCTCCAACTGATTTTGGTCGCGCCCTACTGGCGAGCGAGAACGTGGTTTCCCATTCTAATTCAAGAAATCGGACAACCAACACTAGAGCTACCAAAGCGCTCGAATCTACTCATACATCCTCACACCAAACAGGCGCCACGGAAACCCAGAAGCATTCCAACTTCCCGTATGGACTGTATTAAAGTGTGTCTAAACAAAAGAGGTTATTCAGCCAGAGCGGTGAAAGCAGTCACGCTTGCCTTACGCAATTCTACACGCAACTTGTATGACGACAAGTGGCACAGTTTTGAAACATACACTGCTGAAAAAGGGATTTACAGCGAGAAATGCTACACATCCACAAGTGGCTGACTATCTGTGTTACCTACGACAAAATAAACATTTAAAAGGCTCGACATTGTCAACTTATCTCGCAGCTCTAAGTTCTGTGATAACTATGAGAACGGTTGTCAAGCTAACCAAGATGCCAGAGTTACTGGCCTTACTACGTGCATTCCGATTGGAGGATCAGAAACAGAGATTTCACGCTCCAGCATGGGATCTAAATATAGTGCTCCAACACCTCACAAGTGAGGCCTATGAACCACTGGAATCAACAACCTTTGAATTTCTGTCACAGAAAACTTTGTTCCTGTTATCCCTAGCAACGGCAGCCAGGATGTCAGAAATTCACGCACTAGATTATGAGAGAATACGTTTTGACGACAATCAAAACATGGGACTACGATGGGATTTTATCGCCAAGAATCAATTGCCAGGTCAACCAGACAGATTATTCCATGTTCCTGCACTCTCCTCAATTCTCGGACCTCAAGATACGCTTGACCTATCTCTATGTCCAGTCAGAGCACTCAAAATCTATCTACAACGATCCAAAACGAGGCGACGACAACTCAAGCGGTTATTCATCCCCCTATCGACAGCGACTCAGACCGAGGTCTCTCGTACCACCATATCAATATGGATCAGAACTGTCATACTTCGTGCCTATAAGGCTGCAGGACTCGACCCTCCAAGAGCATCTAATCCCCATGAAATCAGAGCACTGGCTTCCACACTCGCTCTACACGGAAATTGCTCGTTGAATACCATTATGGAGGGCTGCTTTTGGAAATCCGACATGGTGTTTGCTAACCACTATCTGAGAGATATCACCACCGAGGACGTCTCAGGTATTCACCATTTCGGTCCCATGGTCCTTGCACAGCAGTTGACAGTCCCTCGTAGACGATGATTAGTCTCACGAGATTATTATTATGTATATATCATACCAGTTTTATCTAGCTTATAACTCTACTGAGTTTTGTGCTATTATATACATATCTTAAGTCTATAGTAGTCTTAAGCCCAGTACTGATGTTATATGTACCTTGGGTCGCTTCTCCACTTTGGAGTCGCTTTATACCATTATTACTATTATCATAGTATCTATATATTGTAGTACCCCCATCTATGGCAGTTGGTAGAACTTATGTTTTATAGCAGCAGGAATTAGCTTAATTACAGTGCCATTAGGAAGTTCCCGTAGGGGGTTATTACTTATACAGAAATCACTAATTATTTAAATCCAAAGTATTCTGTTTTCCCACCTCCGTTTCCGTAGGATTCTACAAGCAAAAGAGCATGAGTCAGGATAAGGAAAAATGTGTAATTTTCTGATTAAAATTGATATTTTATACTTATCCTGACTCATGAGGTAAGCTTTCCTCCCATCCTCCCCCACATAACACTTTGGATTTCCCAGTAAATTCAAGTGTTGGGCTCGATATATCAGGAGAGAGTGAAGCATGAGGGAAGAGGTGGCGCCTCCTTTCCCGCGCATTTGGAAGAGGGAGGCAACTCTTGGTGAGTACTAATTAGTGATTTTACATTGAAGGGAGCTTCAATTGGGGAGATACAAGTGTTCCACTATGTTCGCAAGAAGAAGAAGACAAGCAAAAGAGCATGAGTCAGGATAAGTATAAAATATCAATTTTAATCAGAAAATTACATTATTGCACATATCCTTCAGAATTACTGGTATTAAATGTTGAAATGTAGTCATTGTTTCATATTTGCTTTATTTCCCAGGTTGCGGAGACCTATTGGACGTCTCACAGTCCAAGAACAAAAGTTGGAAGGGGAATATAGATATGTCAATTCAAGACTCATCACGAACAGGTGAATATGTTGATATACTACTAGCTTTACACATTTCCATACCTTTTACACATGTCCATACCTTGGACCTGTCCAATACCCTGGACTCATTCCCTGGACCTCTTCCCATTCCCTTCACCCATTACCCTACCTTGGACATGTTCTACTCAAGTAATGACACCAGCTCCATCTTTCTTATACCTTACACTGTGCTCACTGGATGTAATTCAACAAATGACAAGATGGTTATGTATTTCTTTGTGCCAGAATATGTATATTCTTGCATTCAGATGAAGAATGGAGCTCTTTGCTACAAACATTATGATTGTGTTAATGATGCACACAACATAGAGTTACAAACAAGTACTAGTAATATTGCTGCTTGTGTAATGCAATGAATTATGGTGGAATTTGAGTGGATATCTATTTTGACCATTGTGTTGTTGCATTTGTGCCTCTAACCTTTTAATCAGGCTGAATTTGTCTCTCAGGTGAAATTTCTCCCCACAATAAACTCTCGGATTATTCAAAATTAAATTTAGGCCAATGATACTTAGTCTCTTTGTATTTTTGGAATTCTAAATGACCAATAAACATAGCTGTAGCAAATTTGGAGCCACATGACTGTGTGGGTAATCTAAATAATTGTCCCACTTTACTTCATAGTTAATGTGGAAATCAAGTTTTTGTATAAATCTCTAATTTAAACACATTCTGTGTTTTTACTGATCAAAAATGTTAATAAGCTGATACAATTCAAAACAAATTTACACATAACAGAGCACACTTGTACTAGTTCAGTGCATATTTTCCAACTGCAAAATCAGAAATTCCATTCCATTTTAGTAGCACCCATTAGCAGTTCCTGGAATTTAGCGAAAGGTCCAACTGGTTTCCTAGAATCCTTTCGAGAGGCGTGTTCAGTAACAGTACTGCGAGTGCTGAGATGGGTGAATTTCTTTGAAGGGGTACGATTAACATGACTTTTGCAAATAAGCAGGGACCGGGGAAATATCTTTTGATGACTCGTTACCATCCGCCATAAAGTAGAAGCAATATATAGGACCATGTTTCCTCTGTCACTAGTACTTCATTTCCAGACATGGTTAGAAAGACAAAGACTTTTGAGATGAAATGTCATATATTGGAGATGAGAGTACCGTATTTGCATTGCGAGAACCGATTGCTAATAGAAGCAGGTCTCTAATAGACGGATCTATGGTCATCGTGATGCTCTTCAAAACATCTTCACCCCCAAATCAGCGCATGTCCTTCTCATTAAATTTCTTAATTTACTCAAGTGCCTCCAATGTTGCCAATGTTTTTAAAGGCTTTTCTTGTTCAGGCTACTCTGAGTGGCTTTTTAGAAGTTTGAAAGTACAATATTGACACCTTTTATGGATAACAACTTCCTTTATTTAGAAAGTGCAATATTTCGATACATATTCATGAAACCGCTATGGAGTTGCTTCCCTTGTATTGTATGTTCTCTTTCAGAGTGATCTCTCAAGTAAAATTATAGTACCAGTGTCTGGTTGACTTAAATTTTCAGTTGATGCATACCTTCCAAGAAGATTACGGTATATGATATTGTTATCCCCCGCAACACGTTTTGCGGGGGTATTAAAATGCACTCCGTCCGTGTGTCCGTGCACATTTGTCTTTTCCTGGGCAGAACTCTAAAACCGTTCACTATTTCTTCACCAAACTTGGCACATAGATAGATCTGGTGGTGAACTGGTGCCTTTTGGTAGTTTTGGATTTCTGAATAAAATATTTTTGTGTTTCCATGGCAAGAAGTTTGACTTAGACTGAAATTGGTGGTAGTACTCTTTTCTGGAGCAGAACTTCAAAACCGTTCACTATTTCTTCACCAGATGTGGCACATCGATAGGTCTGGTGGGGTACTGGTGTCTTTTGGTAGTTTTGGATTTCTGAATAAAATATTTTTTTGCATTTCCATGGCAACAAGTTTCACTTTGACTAAAAATTGAAATTGGTGGTAGTGCTCTTTTCCGGAGCTTAACTGTTCACTGTTTCATCACCTAATTTCATACATAGGTAGGTCTAGTGGTGAACTGGTGCCTTTTGGAAGTTTTGGATTGCGTTTTTGAAAATAATTGCGTTTCCATGACAACAATTTTGGCTAGTGCTCCTTTCTGTAGTAGAATTTTGTAACCTTTCAGTACTCTCCTTCCACTTAGTTATATACACTCCAAAACATTTGACATAGTAACTCGTAAGACATATTTATGAAGAGTATTTTGCCATTGTGGGGGATATTGATGACTTTGTCTTCTTGTTAAACTTTTGTGTTTATTTTTCATTCCAGTGAAGAAATAGCATTCTATCAAGGAAACCAGAGGGAAAGGTTCATCATTCTTGCAACGTTCCAGAAATTGGTGTGTAGAACTGATGCACATGATATGTGATGTTGACTGATGCTAGAAGTGTGGTATATTTAGCGCCATACTCAGCAGTATTCCAGCTGTATCATGACGGTCTGTAAATAGTCGAGTCCAGACCTGATACTCCAGTGATTGACACCATGAGCATCAATCTATGCTGTTTGGATATGATGACATGTATCCATCAAGTCAGTGAGCCTGACCACCCGATCCCATTAGATACCTCTTAAGAAAAGCCTCGGTTGCTGAAGGCCGATGTTACCTCAGATCTTCATTGATGGAGTAGAAGCAGCGTAAAACTAAACTCACTCACTCATTGACTGAGATACCTTTGATATTAACTCAGAAAGTAAATACAATACAAATAATGGTGCTCACACCATTCAGATCATGTTGAGGTTGACTGTGTCACATAAAATGGAATTAGGCCAAATAAAAAAAGGGTTGTGGTTCAGATTACACCTCTAAAACATTTAGGGTAGGTAGGTCAGATTTTTTTTTTTACAGATTTTTTTAGAACTAAAGTACAAACTAATAACACGTATGTCAATGTGTAATTGTTTATTCAATCAAGCTTGCGGCCATCATATCGAATTTCTCTATCAGAATGACAGATATCTGTTGGTGCTGGGGAAAAACAATGGTATCTGAAAGCTTATTTTATTCATTCTTCTTTAAAAAAATAGGGTTGGCACCAGAATTCAAGGGTGAGTTGGGTAATCGGAACCACAACAATTTGTTTAGGCCTTACAGTAACACTCCCAATAGAACCCAACTACTTTACTTAATTCATTGAGACAATGCAAGACTGGCAATAGCCTGACAATGTGATATTATGTTGGCATTCTCTACTGAACATTTCTTGGATTTTGATCATGCTACGAGAACCTGATACTAATGCATAGGACACAGTATCATATTCAATAAAACTAAACTGTTTTTGTAATTTCAGATATCCCATTTGCGCTACTTCATTTTCTTCCGACTACAAATGGGTTTTGTTGACAGTGTCGTTGCAAAATGTAAGTTTGTTCCTTGTTTAGCTTCCTTGAAGTGATCAATTATAAGTTGAACATGAGAAATTTGGTCAGTTCTTTGAAACGCCTGATATTGGGTAATATTTTAGAAATCTTCATTTGTAAATGTAGGACATTTGGCTAGTGTGGTTGTTGACAATCTGTCGTGGCTGACACAACTCCCAGTATGTCCACAACATGTGGTCACCAGTTTAGGGTTTACTTTTCAGTACTGAGATGGGTTTCCAAAGCTAGAGGGGCGGTGGGGTAGCCTTTAGGTTAAAGCAGTCTGCTCGTCACGCCGAAGACCCGGGTTCAACTCACCACACGGGCACAATGTGTGAAACCCATTTCTGTAGTCCCCTGTCGTGATATTGCTGAAATATTACTAAAAGCGGCGTAAAACCATACTTACTCACCCAAAAGCTAACATGCTTACATGGCCTAAAGAAATATTTCAGGACTTCTGATGACTAACTGTTTTTCTCATTTTTGCCTAAACTGGGTCTTTCTGAACAGTAGTAGTTGTTGATTATGATCTTGACTGGAAACAATTTGCAGTTACTATGGTCATGTAACATCGAGTATTGCGGAACGAATTGAAAATGATAATAGTTGTTGTTCATGAATTTGGGATATCATTTGAATCATTTTGAGGGTCTTGTGGAGTTTATTTTGTCTTTATTTGACTAAATGTCTGATGTTGTTCTTCTGTGTTACCAGACATAGCCACGGTAGTGGGATACTGGGTTGTGAGTCGACCGTTCTTGAATCTGGCACATAAGCGCCATCTCAACAGCACCCACAGTGAGAGACTGGAGGTAAGATTTGAACTCAGTTTGCTTTTAATACTGATTAGTCTAATATCAATACTATTCTTCCCAATAACAATGATGCAGTGATGATGGCGAGCATGTAACATTGATTCAATGATTACAAGCCATTAGCAGTAGCCCAGTAATATCAAGCCACAAATAATAAGCAGTGATGACGACAAATCAGTAGCAATGGCACAATCATGATGACAAGTCCAAAACAATATAAAATTGAAGAAGACAAGCCAAAAGCAATCGTACAATTATGATGTCAAGCCAGTAACAATAGTACAATGACAAGCCCAAAACATTGATACATGGATGAAGACAAGTTCAAAACAATGACACACTGATGTGGCCAAGCCGAAATATATTGGTGATGATAAGCCAAAACAGTCATGGAATTGTCATAATTATGATGCATAAGCGGAGCCAATATAACATTAACTTTGAGGCTATATAACCACCGGTATACGTCCCCAATTTGCCAAACAGAGTATAGTTATCCCCATTCTAATTCAACTCATTTTTCGTTGTTTTTTCGTAAAAGAAATTCATTATGGTGTGTGTGTGTGTGTGCGTGCGTGCGTGCGTGCGTGCGTGCGTGTGCATGCATGATGGGGGGCATGGTGGGCGAGCTGGCTAAGGCACCAGGCTAGTGATCCAGCGAGCATGAGGTGCCGGGATCGAGCCCACCTGTGACCGGGTGTAAAAAACCTTGGAGTCAACTTTGTGTGCCGACTCTTTCAGTGTTGTCACAATCCCTAGTGTACAGTACACAACCCTGTGCACTTAAAAGAACACAAGAATCCATTGGTATATGACCAGATGGTGGCCACATGAATACGTGCAAACACCTAATTGTGGGTGCATCAGTGTGCAAAGTACTGTGACTATGTGTCCCAGTCCACCCAGCTGTGAATGGGTACCTCGTAAGGATGGGAAAGCCACAATAACTCGGGCGCCTTGTGGCAGCAAGAGTAGTATGCTCCCCAGGGAGTTGAGATTGATAATACGATGTGCCGTTGAGATTGACATCCAATGATCGAGGGAAAAAATACCAGCGCCTTGAGCATGCACTAGTGTGTCTATATGTGCGATATATAAATATCCAATAATAATGATAATTATTTAAACCAGGTCAAAGCTCCTCCAGGTCAAAGGTTAATCACATCACTCCTTGAACTTACAACATCGCCAGAAAAAGTAGTTCCCTTTTCAAACTTCAACACATTTATTATGTGCACACTGACTAAATCTGACAATGATGAATAAATCAAGACCAAGTTAGCATGTATTGAAGGCATCTTGATGTTTGTTACAGGACTACTACAAGAGTGGCCGTATGTTGGTGAAGATGGCAGAGGCCATTGGAAGAATCGTGTTGGCCGGACGAGAGATGACCAGACTAGCAGGGTCAGTACAACTCTTTAGGGAGAGGGGATTGGGGACCTGGTATGGGGTGGGGGATGTCCCATTTGGGATATCAAGTCAGGACTAATCCCCAGCAACCAGTGGTTGTCATAAGAGGTGAATTAATGGATTGGCCTATTAGACTTAGGTTCTTGTTGTCATCATTGTTTCTCTTTTCTTTATTGGACTTTGTTTATAGCATAAGTCATTATTATTTTGTCCAGATAAGATTGTTTACACACTTCTGTAAATATAGTAGCAATATTTCTGAGTGCAGCTTGAACTACAGACAAACTAATCGGAAAGTTGTACCAAGTCAGTTGTCATTATAATGTCAAAATGTTTGGATCTTGTCATTGATGGCTATCTTTCTATGTCTGCTTGCTCTAATTTTGTGATGCAATCAGGCTAACTGTTAAGTATTAAATGAATTAGAATATTTCAATTTGACACTTGGCACTAAATACCTTTACTGTACTTTGAAAAAACTGTTGTATATGTTGAATATTATCAAATTGTATTATTGTATGGCGCTCACACAAAACTTTATGTATTTGTATAATGGGCCTGTGGGCCCCTTACAGAAATAAACTCATTCTCAAGAAATATGCATAGATTTAGGCTGAAAATGTCATTCAGTTTTTAGATGTCAACATCAGTTGGTGTGTCTGAGACAGTCTTATTTCAATTTCAGAAAACAACTATGAATTTGAAGGAAACATATTTTGCACCATTATTATAATGAGATTTTTAATGATTTACAGTTTCACAGCCAGAGTGACACAGCTGATAAGAGTGTTGGATGATCTCAACCGAGGGCGCTATGAGAGAACAATGGTGACGACAGAACAGACTCAAGGTACGTGAGCCAAAATGAGGCGTATTATGCTTGGTCTGTAGAAACTGACTTTCAGTTAGATAGTATAATGGTTGAAACTTCTGTCGGAATCCCCCAGGTCTTGGATGTATAAATATGTAAGATGTGGTTTCCCCAATCAGTTCATACCTTAGAATCTTATCAAAATGTGAATACTGTGACCAACAAAAGCATGATACTTTTCTTTGTACAAGTAATAAATTTACATTTAGATCTTATGGCGCTGTTATTTCACAGTCACTAACAGCAAGTAAAGATATGTCTTGAATGTAGACTTCATTGTATTACATTCCAAAGAATTGGATTATCTCCCTTTACTTTTGTTCGCTGCCACGTCTTGTCTTTCTTATTCATTGAGTTGAACTTTTTATCCTATCATCTTAAAGTAATGGGTTTGAATCAAGAATTACACCTATATTTTTGGTTTATTTGCACCAAGCCCATGCTTGTTTGCGTGGCCAAAGTGACCAGCATCAGTGGCCCAAGTGGTCCTCCCTCATGAAACTGATCACCATGGTGTGAATAAAATACTGTTCAAATACGTATTAATTCACTCACTCTGATTTTTGTCTTTTGTGTTGATAGAGAAATAAGAAATAGCTCCAAGAGTTTGTATCTGAAAATTTGCTATTTTTTCAGCTCTGGAGAATAACAAAGAATTGAAAGCTGGTAGCGGAAAGATCAACATTCAAGATCATATTATCAAGTAAGTTTGTTTGTTTTTGTTTTTTCTGTTGTTTTACATTTTTTATTGTTTAACATTGCACTATATTCTATATAACTATATGGCAGCGGCCTTTAAATAATAGTGTCTGGACCAGACTATCCAGTGATCAACAGCATGAGCATAGATCTACGCAATAGGGACGCAATAGATCTACACGTAATGACGTGTCAACCCAGTCTCATTAGTCGCCTCTTACAATAAGCTGAACACCAATTCTAACCCAAATCTTCAAGATTTACAGGATACAAGATTTTTAATTAAATTATAAAGTTGTTTCCCATCTTTGACCAAGCAAAAAGTTCTGAAGTAAGACATCTGATTCACAGCAAGTTGCTGGGTCTGGCGTGGATTGGAGTTGCGGGTTTGTCATTGCCTGGTTGTGGTGCTCCTTATTGTGACTGCTATGTATAATAATACTTGTAAAGCAGAGGGTCAAGACGTCCAGGTGCCCTGACATGTCCCTGGATCCACTGTGGGTTTGAATCCCTGATATGTCTGGGTGAAGTGGTAAACCGTGGTATTAGTAGAACCGCGGTATTTTGCCTTGGTTCAGTATACCGTAATGCAGTCCAAAATTTCGGTCTTTTCGTACCATCATTTTATTAACCTTTTCAAACCTTTTGTAAAACATCTAGAAATCGAATCATTTTGTCAAAATCTATGCATTTCTTTGCTTGACGGATGCTATTTTCTCATATAAGTTCTCAAATACCGAACCGAAACAGACCAAACTGAAAGCCTTGTACCGCAATACATAGCGTACCATGATAAGAGCGTACTGTTTCACCCCTAGATATGTCCTTTGTACCATGGACATCAACAATCTTCACCGTTTGTAAATCTCACATCTAGCTGATGTAACTAAAACGCTCTTCAATGGTATAAAACCCAAATCACACACTTTCTCTAAAACTGACTGTAGCAGATGAGACAGGTGTTTATTTGATGATTCCCTACCCAAATCACACACTTTCTCTAAAACTGTGACTGTAGCAGATGAGACAGGTGTTTATTTGATGATTCCCTGGTGATTGCACTCAGTTTAAGGGTTATATGTTGACTTCAAGCACTCCTTCATCTCTGAGTCTGGTCCAGACTTGATTATTTACACACTGCCGCCATAAAGCTGGAATATTGCTGAGTGCAACCTAAAACTAAACTCACTCACTCACTCACTCACTTCATCTCTGCATGATTTGTGCCTGACGAGAAGCTGAGACTCTGTTGATAATGTCTGGTCTGTTTCAGATTTGAAAAAGTCCCCCTTGTGACGCCAAATGGCGACGTGTTGGTGAAAGAGCTGACGTTTGAGGTAGGTCATGTACTGTTGGTGGCGTTTAATGTGTGAGTGTCTCCTGGTAAACACAGCTCGTACTCTGCTGCTCCTGATAAACATGCATAGGTTTCATTATTTTCAAAGGTGAAGGGTGCGCATGGCGTAGATGAGCATATAACACCATGGTAGTCTTACTGCATCACCTCTGTGGTGGAGTTACAGTGTCATGCAAAAGGACATTGAAAATGGTCATCGCTGTTACCCTGGCTGCCTTAAAAGCCAAACATGAACATACCAATATGTTCCCACAGGGTTCCCATAGGCTTCAAGAAGCCTGAAATTAGGACATTTTACTCTAAAAAGGCCCTAAATTGGTTTTAGCTTTGAAAAGGCCCTAATTGCAAGTGATTTGCCCTAAAAGGCCCTATATTTAGCAAAACTTGTCAAGTTATGACTTTATAGGAAACAAGTAAAAATACCTTGCAATGACCGTAGGTGTTAATCAATCTCCGTCACTAAGCAAAACATTCCCAGTGCAGCAATGTAGCTGAGAGTTATTTCATTCTGATGGTCGGTTCCACGTTTGACCAACCTTGTGTGTTATTCAACTACTTATGTGTTATATGTCTTTCTATAGGTCCTTAAAATTATTGATAGGGCCTTGAAAACCCGTTAAAAAGCCTTAAATTTGATAGCTGATAATCTGTACGAACCCTGTCACATATATTCTCTGATTGACTACCTCTCTCCTGAGAAAATGTTTTCTGGCTCTGACAGACATAACTGTAAGATCAAAGGTGAAAACTTTTACTACAAGTGGTTCATACTAAATATGGAAATGTGAACTGGAGACTAACATGCTTTTTGTTGGGATGCATATTGTCTCCATCCCACCAATGTATAATGATGTGTGTCCTCATAGTGTGCCATGCTATTATATTCACAGAGTGAGGTAAACATATGAGTGGTCAGTTTCACCTCCAGCTAATGGGGGAACGTAATGTGCAGCTGTCCCTCTCATCCACAGACAGTGGGGGTGGGATAGCCTAGTGGCTAAAGCGTTCGTTTATCACGCCAAAGACCTGGGTTCGATTCCCCATGGGCACAATGTGTGAAGCCCTTTCTGGTGTCTCCCACCATGATATTTATGGAATATTGCTTAAAGCAGCGTAAAACTAAACTCACTCATCTTATCCACAGACAAGTAGCTGTGGAAACTCGCCATACTCTGGCTTTCTTACTCACAGGAGGGAAATTCAAATTTGGATTAGAAATCATTTTCTTCATGCGGACTTATTCTTCTGTCTGTATTGTTGTGTTACAGCATGTGTTTCTATTATCTGTGTGCATCTTCCAGACAACTGTTATTAAGAAATACTAGATATACCCTGCCTTGCTTATACTCTCAGGGGCGGTAGGGTAGCCTAGTGGTTAAAGCGTTAGCTCGTTATGCCGAAGTCCCAGGTTTAATGGGTACAATGTGTGAAGCCCGTTTCTGGTGTCCCCTGTCGTGATATTGCTGGAATATTGTTAAAAGTGGCATAAAACCCAACACTCTCTCACTCACTTATACTGTCATGTCGGGGAAAATACAAGGACTGGCCTGAGTCTATATAATATGTCTGAGTGGGGTATCCATGTTAAAATGCTAAACAAGACATAAGTTCAGATATACACTGAACACTTTTTGTAAGCAGACAGTGAAAGAGTTTGTTTTTTCGCTGCCTTTAGCAACATTCCAGCAATATCACGGTGGGGGACACCAGAAATGGGCTTCACACATTATACCCATGTGGGGAATTGAACCGGGCCTTCCGCGTGATGAGGAACGCTTTAACCACTAGGTTACCCCACCACCCCGTAACCAGACAGTGAAGTTACCTAATTAAATTGTATTGTAAACTTATTTCAGATTTGTTGACATGGTACTTCTGGCGTTAGATGTTCATAGTAATGACTGTGCATGGGGTTAAAAAATAAATAAATAAAAATGTTGTGCAAGATTAATGCATGCACAGAGGAGTTTTGTGACTGTAACATTCTGATCATGTTTGGGCGGTGTGGTAGCCTAATGGTTAAAGCGTTGGCTCGTCACGCCGAAGACCCGGGTTCGAATCCCCACATGGGTACAATGTGTGAAGCCCATTTCTGGTGTCCCCGCCATGATGTTGCTGGAATATTGCTAAAAGCGCCGTAAAACCAAACTCAGTCAGTCAGTCAGTCAGATCATGTTCTGTTTGCATGCTCCAAACCTGCCGCATTTTTCTGAGGACTCGACTCGTTTGTTAAGTTGAAACTTGAAACATTGCTTGCCTGTAGTCCCCCAAGAAACAAAATAATGTTATTACATGTTTTGCCATGAATCTAAATTCACTTTGTAGAACCCAGCACTGGATCAGTCCATAAACTTATCATGACATCAACCAAACAAAGATTTGTGCTGGAAATGATTTGAGGATCTAGGAGTATGTTCCTTTTCCAAAGGGAATCATTGTGTTTTATATTTTCAAGCAGTTAGTGTTTTCAACTTAGTGACTCCAGGGCAGATCAGGTTCGCACTACCCCACGCTTGTTGTGAGAGCTGTCTTACATGGACTGGGTATCAGTGTTTCTGTTATCTGGTATATACCTGACCAGTACAAAGTTAGAATGTCCGGTAATTTCAAAGGATGTTGGTCATTGTGTCCGGCAAATTTTAAAATCAAATTTTTCTAATTACCTCTGTCAATTATATTTCTCCTCCAAAAAGATTACGTTTTCACAATGACATCGAGGTGTAGTGTAGTGTAGTGACATCGAAGTAGCAGTTTTGGAAAACCAGGCTAGTATAGTGGCTTTGACGCATTGCGATACCCTCTACATTTCTGATTGGTTGTTAGGGTGCCAGGTCTCACGCACAATGAAAAGCGTGATCACTTGACTGGTAAAATTTACAAATGACCGGTATTTGAAATCTAGCCAGTCACAATGTCCAGCTGTAAGAAATGCCAGCGGAAACACTGGGTATTATTATGTGTAACCTGGCTGATGTGGATCATTATCGAATGAGTTGTGCCTCTATCGACTGATAGTGATACAGCAGTGGTAGCCCAGTGGATCCAACATGGCGTGATTTCCTGCACAATCAACCGTACGTTTGTTTCAGCCATTTAGTAGTTTCTCTTATGGAATCAGTCTCATTGGGTTCATACCCTACCTGGTTATTCAGTATATTTTTCCTGCATTGCTTTGAGTTCACTTGGATGTTTGTAACACAAAAAGGAGAAAAGGAATAACAAGAATGCTTTGAATACATTCCTGTTCATGACCTGGGCGCTGTTACACAAAGCTCTCGTAAGCCTAAGATCTCGTAGCTTTCCTCGTAGCATTCGAAGTTCCTGTGTTATAGTATGGGAAGTACGAATGCTACGAGAAAAGTTACGAGATCTTAGGCTTACGAGAGCTTTGTGAAACAGGGCCCTGCTGACCAAATCGTGTTCCACATCGCGATAGGAAACAATGACAATGTGAGTGAAACTTATAATAAACATGGTGTAGATGTTTGTGATCTATTTTCTGCAGTATGGAGTTCATGTGTGTGATTCTGTCAGTCATGCTGGTAAATATCTGGAAAGATATCACAAATGGTTAATGATACCTAATTCACTTGTGGGTAATTCACTTGTAATAATTGAATCAGATATGCCTCATGGGCCTGTTGTCATTACTGTCAGACAATCATTAATAGTGCAGTGCATATGTGCGTATTTGTCATCATACACCACTTGAGGAAACTTGAGATGCTCATGAAACACACGATACTTTGAGGTCTTCTTATCAAACAGGGGTGTAAATATCATCCCAATAAAGTTGATATAAACCCTGTTTACAGACGAAATAACATAAAAAGTGACTGTATAGTCAAGTGCTGTGTGTAGCTGTTAAGCGTCCTTCACACGGCAAACTAAAGTTTGACAACATATGTTGTCAAACTCGAGTTTGAGAGTGTGAACATTCCAACAACTTGCCACCAACACCAATTTCAGAGTTGTCAAACTGTTGCCGAGAAATAGGATCGGTCTCTATTCTCACCAACTTTTCCATTAAACTTTCGGTATTGTCAAACGTGTGAAGTGTTGTCAAACCCGTGTTGTTCAGAAACAAGCAATCGCAGTCAATGAAATTGTCATGTGATGTTTTGGTCGTTTGGTCAACTCGACCTACAAAATGGCATCACTCAAATAACATGAATGTTTGACGTGCGTTTCACATGTGAAAACGCAAGTTTGGCAACTTTTAAAATATTGAAATTTAAGTTTGCCATGTGAAGGCCACTTTAATCTCTGAATATTTATACTTTTGATAGTAGCAAACAAACCCATTTAAATTGAAAAGGAGACCAGAGATTCAAAACCTGAGGAAATCTAGACTTACTTCATTTAAGGCTTTAGCATTGCAGAAGAACTAGGCAATAATGTGGTTCAGGGACTGTGAGACAGACTACTTATGGGGCGTGGTGGGCAAGCTGGCTAAGGCGCCAGGCTAGTGATCCAGAGAGCATGAGGTGCCGGTATTGAGCCCACCTGTGACCGGGTGTAAAAACCTTGAGTCAACTTTGTGTGCTGACTCTTTCAGTGTTGTCACAACCCCTAGTGTACAGTACACAACCCTGTGCACTTAAAAGAACCCACAAATCCGTTTGTATATGACCAGATGGTGGCCACATGAATACGTGCAAACACCCAGTTGCGGGTACAGCAACGTGCAGTAATCTTGGGAAAAGTACTGTGACTATGTGTCCCAGTCCACCCAGCTGTGAATGGGTACTTCGTAAAGATGGGAACGGTGCGGTGCGCCTTGTGGCAGCAAGAGTAGTATGATCCCCAGGGAGTTGAGATTGATAATGAGATGTGTCCTTGAGATGATGGACATCCAATGATCGGGGGAAAAATACCAGTGCCTTGAGCATGCACTTGTGCGTGGATATGTGCGCTATATAAATATCCAATAATAATATTAATAATAATAATAATAATACTTGTGGGGCTATGGGTAGG